CTATGTGACCTGTCTTTTTCTCTATGTGAGATTTTGTCTATGTTGTATTTCTGTTTGTATTTTAACTGGTGTGCCGTCTTGGCCAGGTCTCCCTCGAAAAAGAGATTTCAATCTCAAGGGACTTCCTAGTTAATTACAAAAAAAAAAAAAAACGATAATGGTGGACTAGCGTCACTAACTGTGTGAGAGGAGGGAGTTGGTTGTAAAAGAGTAACAGTAGCTTAAGACAAATGTTTTACCTATCATTCATATCGTCTTTTCATTTTTTAAAAGGTATTGTTTTTCTTGGACTTGACAAACTATGTAGCAACATGTTGTGGCTCATGATTGATAATCAAAGTAAAATTCACTTGTGACTTTAACAAAACAAAGTTTAAAATAAAATTTAAAAAGTTTACTTCCAAGAACACCCCTTTCCAAAGATCTAAAATAAAAAAAGAAAGAAAGATCTCCTTAAAGCGAGTCAGAAGACAATGGTTTCTCTGCAGGTCTTAATAGATGGTGTAACTTTATCTCTCACTGGGAAACACTTTAGAAATAACAATCATTACACATTCTCAGTTTCAGGAAACTGCAAGTAAAGAACAATCTAAAAGAAGTGTTCTGAAAAGCTATATAAGAAACATTTACAATTCTTCATAAATGTTTGAATAAAAGGTCATATTTATCTACACTTCAGTTAAAAACAAACAAAATACACATTTAAATAATATAAAAGTTGCTTTTCTTTTCAGTTATAGTTTTGAGGAAATTAAAATAAAAATCTTCATCAAACAGTTTCAAGTTGTATTGCTTTTCCAGTTTCATACTTATAGCGGTAAATATGCAAACTGTCTAAGGTCAAAGGTTATTCATATTTAAAAAAAATAAAAGTTCCCTTTACCTTCCAGATGTAACTGATCCCTAGTTTTGAATACAATAGAAGAATAGGTAATGTCATCCTCCTTTTCTGCCATTGCTGCAAATATGACGAGTTTTTCCAACTTGTACAGAGAAGCTTTTCCTCAGCTGACTGACATTTAGGAGAAGTTCTACTTTTTTACTACCCTTTTGTCTTGCATCGTTTAGTTTTGAAACTTCTGCTTTTGGTTGGGTAATTAATTGCATTTATGGAAAATCTTAAAATGGGCTAGAGCATGAATATTGTGTTCATGTGTTGTCTGAAATAGAAATAAGTAAAATATTAGCAGCCTACCTAAAAAAAAAAAAGAAAAAAAAAAGCTATTTAAAGTGGAGTTTAGACGTTCGATTGGAGCGAAGGAATTAAATGAGTTCTTCCACTGCTGAATGAATTAATTAAAATGCAATGGATTAATCCTTTTCGTCTTTAGGAATCCAAACAGATTTTGAGGGTTCTCTGCTTGGATTCATTTTTAAGTTTATTTGTGTTTTGTATCTTTGTAGTTATTTCTACCACTGCTGAGTTCTTAAGTTATCCTCTGTTGCTCCCTTGTGCAGGTTTTCATTTCCTCTTGGTTTCCTCCTACTTGGTCTTGCTCACACCTGCTCCCAATCTGCTGATCAGCCTGTCTTGGTTCATTGTCCCATAGTAACACCACTCACTGCTGGTTTGTTGTGTTTGTTGCTTCCTCATCTCTCGTTCCCCACATGAGTTCTCCCTGACATTTTAGTTATCTGTATTTCGGTTCTCAGTATGTTTTGCATTTTTTGTATTTCTGCTATGGAAGTAAAATGACCAGCTCTAATATGTATCTTTAGAAGTACTTCTGGTGTTTATTTTCAGGTGTTAAAAAATATTTATATTTTTAATTGAATAAAAAAAAAAAAACATATAAAGCAACCCATATGGAGCAAATGCAAAGTTTGATAAATACTTTAATGATTTCAAAGCATTTAATATTCATAAGATCCATAATAAACATTTTAAAATACAAGATCAACAATTTTCAGCAGATTGTTTTGTTTTCCAAAAATAAGAATTAATAACTAGGTTTAATTCTATGATAGCATCAATTTTGCTCTACTTTATTGTGTTTGAATTTTGCTGATCCAATAATTTACAGGTTCACATATTTCACTCTCAGAGTTAGACAAAGTGCATCTCCTGGTCAGGGTTTGTACCTGTTTTGGATAAACCTTCAAACTATTGCCTGAAAGTGGAAGCTTTTCCAGACAAAATGTTATCACTGCGAAAACGACCTAGAAATAGGCAAACATTTCTTAAATTAAGTGTATTTACCCTTAAATTCTGTCAGTGAGCCCCAGGGCAGCTGTGGCTACAATGTAGCTTGCCACCATCAGTGTGTGCGTGAATGGGTGAATGAATGTAGTGTAAAGCGCTTTGGTCAAGTCTCCTGATTTGAAAAAAGGCGCTATATAAGTACATGCCATTTACCATTTATTTTGATTAGGTCGATAAGATGATTTGCTGGTGGAATGAGTACTTTTAATCTCAGTTAATATGCGCTTGAAATAAGACAATGCAATTGTTTTTTTTCTTCTTTTAAATGTAAATCATGTTGTTCCATTGGCAAAGTGTCTCACTGCTCAGTTCACTAGAAAAACAATCTAGAAATAAATAAAAATGTCTTAAATTAAGTGTATTTACCCTTAATTTGAGTAGGTAAATGAGATCGTTTGCCAATGAAATTAGGATTTGTACTCTTAAAATAAGATTATTTATTTAGATAATTATTATTTAATTAGATATGTTATTTTAACCTGACAACAGCCAGATGCATGTCTCGCTCCGCCCAGCCAATGTGAGTGGAGCTAGGCGGAGCGAGACATGCATCTGGCTTTTGTCAGGTTAATGTTATTTATCCATCCATGGGCAATGACAGTGAGACCTGGATATATTATTTAATTAGATATAATTAGATAACATGCACTTGAAATAAGACAATGCAATTGTGTCCTATTTTAAGTGTAAATAGACTTGTTCCACTGGCAAAATGTCTTTTTTAACCTCAAATGCACTAATTTTAAGAAAAAAAGAATTATCTAGGTTTAGATTTTTTTCAGTGTTCAAGAAAAAAAAAACTTATTTAGTTTTAAATTTTTTGCAGTGCTGGGGTGTACTCTTACTGTACTGCTGCTAGAATATCATCAAACAATATTCTTAGATAAATGTGCTTTTTTTTATCTCTTATTGTGTTGAAAGTCATGGAACTCATTGCAAAATAATTATATAAGAAAATTCATCATGATTTCAAATGGACTAACAAAAAAACAAAACAAAAAAAATCCAGCAACTCAGGTGGACGATAGTTTGGTCTATCTAATTTACCCACTCAAACTAAGGGTAAATGCAGATTTAAGAAATTGTTACTCATTTCTAGATCATTTTTCCAGTGCATTGGGTAGATGCATAGAAGAAACAAATACGCGGATTCAGATGATTTAAAGCAAAAATTAAGTTTGAGTCTTTGGAGCCAAAGAAGAGCTTTTCCAAAGTCAATACACAGGTTCAGTTAATACAGCTAGAAACCACTGATCAGGCCCAACATCTGGGCTCAGCGTATCTTAAAGACTACACTTTAAAAAAACATCTGTTAGCCTCTAAATCACGGAAAGGTTAAGCTCCACAATATATTACAGACTTGCTGATAGTGTATCCACTGACTGCCTCAGGTCTTCTGGCTGTAATATCTTCTGAACACCCAGAACTAAACATGAAGAAGAAAAGTTCAGTTCTAATGCTGCAAAGATCTGGAATAAACTCCCAGAAAGCTGTAAAATAACTGAAATTCTCATTTGCTTATATTGAAATAAAAAACGTATTTGTTTAGAGTACACTTTGACAGTGCTATCTAAACATTATTAATTTTCCAGTCTAAGTTTTGCTCCACTTTCTTAATCACTTCAATCTTAATCTTTTTAATCTCTGTTGTTTTTTTATTCATTTTTTATTGTGTCGTTTTTATTCTCTTATACTTTTTTTGTTCTCTACGTCGCTGCAATGTGCTTTTCTGACTCTCGCTACTGAAATTTGCTATATAGATAAACTTTCCTTGCCTTTCAGTTTTTAACTCAAAGGCTGAATAGACATCTTTATATCTAAAACTTGATCCACGCTAGTTTTTTCTTTGCCTTTAAAGTTCCAGAGGAAAGCGGAAATAAAGCTTACAGTAGATAAGCCACAAGTCAACCACATTTGTTTGCTCAAGAAGATTGTTTTATAAAAATAGTTTAATAAAAGTGACATATGCAAGTTCCAGGCCCTGCTTTGGTTTGCATGCGTGCTTTAAAATTGAGACTCATGCTTGAAGAATCTGTCAACATTATGATCATTTTATTGAAAAACAGCAGGATCTTTGTTTTCTTCAGAAACAGCCACAAGAAATTAGCTGTTCGACCTCAGTAATCATTTCAAAGGTGTTGATCTGGTCTAATGAACCAAAACTGGACCAATATATGAAATTATAATGTGTGGTATTATCATGAACACCTGATCCTCATTATGCAATGTGATATATTCATAAAATCAGAATCTAAATGACATTTATTTTCCTGAAAGTTTATGTTCCCAGCTTCTCCGTCCAGCTGAATCAAGACAGAGGAAGTATTTTGTAAATAAAAGTTGTTAAAAATGTTCATCTAGATATAGAAAACTTATATAGACACAAGATTTATGCTTGCTATTGAAACATAATAAATATATACAGTTAAGTTTCAATTTAAGCCATTTGAATAAATACAGATTGGAAGAATGGTTAGTGTACAGACTTTAAATGTTAAACACAAGTATGATAGTTTTTGAAAACATTTTTATTTGAAAAGATAAACCTATCTTTTAACAAATCGATGCATTTTTGTACCACAGCTCTCTGGCTAAGTGAAATTATTCTGATGCAAGAGGTTATTTATCTTTCGTTTCTACTGTTTTAGTTGCTATGCTATATTAATTTCTTTTCTCAATTGGTATATATGGGTCAGTTTGCATTGTTTATGCCAATGGCTGTATTGTTTGTTCAGGTCAATATTTACTGTAGAAAACAACAACAACAAAAAACGTAAACACATTCTGGATTCTGGTAGCTTTATTTTATCTTTCAATTAAAAAGGTTATGATTTTAAGTTTGAACGGCAAATATGAGATGCACAAAAAATTTATTTTACAGTGTAATTTGTGATTTTGTTTCAATGAAATTTTTAAATGAGAAAATGTAAATAAAAAAAATGCTGACTGTATTTCATAATATTTCATGGTTTGTTGTGTCACTAGTAGGTTTCTTTTGTACTTTGGAGAGAGAATAGACGGCAGAGATTCTCAGGGTCAGGACTCCCACATAGGCTCTGTAAAACATTCGCCACATGTGAATAGGTCGAGGCTAAAGTGTTAAAGCCTTTTTTTCACAGATCCACGCCCTGGTTTCATTACAGCGCACTGATTTCCATCCTTTGTTAGTGAGAGTAGTCACACAATGACCATCAATTGCAGGCTGCTGCTGTATCCAGGTTCTAAGAAAAAAAAAACAGCTTTTAGATCAAGGTTAATAGATTTGCTTTTTACAAAGTGTGTCAAATAATGTATTTCTCACTGATTGATTAGATCACTTCCATCGATCCATCTCCATGTTCCATTTACAGCTCTGAGGCCGATCCAGTATCCTGTGATGCCTTTTATAGCTGGACTGATATCTTTTAAATATTCCTGAGAAAAAAAAACAGACACAGTTTAATTTTATCATTACCTTCTGTCTCTATGAAAATAAAGCATTAACGATATTGATAATATATTAACTAAGCAATCAGAATTAATTGGAGCAAAGAGTTTTCAGTTGGTGTGCTTTTCAAATCCATTAAATTTGTTCTACGGTTCTGCTTACCTTTTCTTTTTCATTAGCGACGACTATCAGATCTGATATCTTTGTTCTACAATCTTCCCGTGCACCTTCCCAGTTTCTCCAATTAGAGGATTCATGGTCGTTATATGCGTAACAGCTGGAAAAATTGGATTTCCAGCCCTCCTGGCAAGAATTGCATTTTCTATCTGAAACAAGAGTGTTCCAGAAATAAATATAAACCCATTATGTTGCTGTTAGGTATATTTGCACATTCTTATCTAGTTCACAAAAACCACTGAGTTATGATCAGAACATGTACCACCAGCTTTTCTAGGACAATAGGCATCAACGCTCCACTGAGCTCGACTGACATTGAGCTCATTCCCAGTTTTCTCCATGTGTTCAATTATATCTGAGAGGTTTTTCCTGTCTTTCTTCAGCTCTTCGTTTAGCAACGTCAGGTTGTGGTTTTCCGCAGCCAGTGTGGTGATTGTGTTTTTTAAAGCAGCAGAAGCGGTAGTCAGATTTGTATAATCTGAACTTAATTTGTTGTTGAGGTTGGTCAGGTTGTGAATTTCCCTCTGCAGGATCCTTTGGTTTGATTTCAGCTGGTTCAACTCATTTGCAGTGCTCTCCTGAACTGTTGCAACTATAAAATAAAAAAAAATGTTTAAGAATAACTATCATGTAACTTTTTAATTCTAATTTGTTGTTTTTGTTTGATAGTTTAACTTTACTTTACCTCCTGGTATAAATGCACTGTGGTTAAGCAATCTTTTGAAAAGAGCCTTAAAATGTATTGCTCACCGAAACAAAGACCCCAGTCTTTAAATTAGTTCACTTAAAATCAGTTTAAATTTGTTTATATAGCACCAAGTCCCAACATATGTCATCTCAAGGCACTTTAAAATGCTTAAGTCAGATTCCTTAAAAGTTTTACCGAAACTGAAATATATGATGCATTGTAATGCCATTTTTCCAGTAATGAACCCCTTCAACAAACCAATGAGCATATTGCATATGCGCTGATACAAAAATATACTAATTCATGACTTTGCTGTTTTCATATACTTACAATAAACACAGATTCCAATGATAATAAGCAGCAAAATGGCAGAGAGAATCCCAAAACAGCCGGCCAGCTGCCCATAGAGGCCAAATCTTCCTGCTGCCTTTCCTGACAGAGATTCAACACAGATTCTCTATTAGATTAAAACAGTGGTTTTCAAAGTGAGCCACTACTTACTACCTACCCTTGCGTCCTTTTCAATTTGCATGTTTTCAAAACAAAAACAAGGCTTTGTTGGGCTACTGTATAAAACTTTAAACTCAACGCTATTCCTGACATTTTGAATTGAGAAAGCTTCTCGGATGGCAAGCAAAACGTCTACAAACTTGGAAACAAAGTGGGTTTTTTATTTTATTTTTTTGGAATGGCTATGATCTGCATGACTGAGAATCTTCCCCAGCGTAATTTTGGATAAATTACCTCATTCCATTGGGGGTTGTTTTCTCCAGATGAACTTAACAAACTGAGGTGGGCTACAGCGTTCTGCAACCCTTTATCAAATAGAAGATGTGTAATGAACTGCATGCTAATTTTCTTTGGAATAAAATTTGAATCATCTCTAGTTTTTATTAAACTTAGCCTTTTGTCAAGAGTTTTTAATCTTTCATTTTGCTTCGCCTGAGCAACATTTTAATCTAAAAGGTAGAAATTAAAATTCTAAACTATGTTTCTAAGGCCTGTTATGATGTTTAAATTAAGCAAATGAGATTTTATTTATAGGAAAAAATTCTAATAGTCTAAGATTAAGCTTCAGTTAAAAACTAAAAAAGCTCTCTTCAGGTAATTGCCTAAGAATATGAGAAACAAAGGGTCGTTATTAACCTTTTTGCAAAATGACAAAATCTCTCTCTCTCTTTCTCTTTCTGAAAATAAATATATATATATATATATTTTTTTTTTTTTTTCTGTTTTTATAAATTTTTACAGTGGAGAAAAACATTTTCAGTTAGTCATGAAAAAGTTGAGATTCCTCAGTCTTTTTTTGGGGGGGTATCTACCTAAAGAGAAAATGTTTAACCCTTAAATAACTGGTACCTTAAAGTACAACCTATTCTTTATAAAACCAATAGATATGGGATGATTTGCATTAAAATACTTTTGTACTCACCCTGAGCTGGTTCTTTGTCCACCTGCACTTTAGAAATGGTCTCCTCCTCTTTTATAGCTGCAAAGTCATAAGATTAATAAACTTTACATTTAAGCATAAAACACAGTTCAACATACAATACAAATTCATTACTCCTGTTCATCCTTATACTTTTGAATAGTAACCAAGTCTTTTCTTAAATATATATGTATGATGTCAGGTTTATTACCCTGGTCCCTAGGTGAAGTAATCTCCTAAAGAGTTCTTTGTTTTATCCTTGATTTTATGTATACACATGCATATCTTTATCCTGTGCGGGCAGTGCTTTTATTCTATTTTATTTACTTTTATTTATTTTTATTTATTTAAGTTATTTTATCCTTTTGTGCAGCACTTTGGAAACCTTGTGTTTATTGAAATCGTGCTATATAAATAAAGTGGATTGGATCCTCTTCGCTTCTGTTTTTCATCACTGCACTGCTGTTAGCCACTGGATGGTTATAAGGGATTTGATTAGTTTCTTCTCAGGGCACATTCACTGTCCGGGTGGCGTGTGTGTGCGTATGGACGCTGTATGCTTTCGAATAATTTTGGCACGATAAAATTGATCTTCTCTTATGTTGTGGAAAGTTTCTTAATTCTTGTTATTTAAAATTTCCATAACACCTGCCAGGGATGATAATAAATTTGGAAGATAGTATTGGTATTTGCAGAAGTAGTACTTTTTTAGTCAACAACAGGAATAATTTGGGATAATTACCCTTATCACATTAGCAATATTTATTTCTTTTTTTTTTAAAACATCTGATTTGGGAATATGTTTTAGATTTTACATTGAAGTACTTTGAAGTACCTTTTTTTACATACCTTGAGCTGGTTCTTTCTTCACCTTCACCTCAGTATAAACAGATTCCTCTTCCTTTTTAGCTGCGAGATCAGAAGATCAGTGGACTTAATAACATTTAGGTATAAAATACATTCCAAAATACAGTAGATAGTAGCTACAATTAATATACTCTTTTAAGAGATTTCAAAGGATATTAATGAAATGACACAACTATGTATTTCTATGTAATAGGTAAGATAAATTTATCTACAGGCCAGATTTAAGCGTCAAGACAATCCAAAGTGATGATGCAAATTTTATAGCTTTTATAGCTTTCTGGGAGTTTATTCCTTATCAATAGTCATAAGTATTAAATGCTTCTTCTCTGTGTTTGGTTCTGGTTCTGGGTACACAGAGTAGATCAGAGCCAGGAAACCTGAGAGGTCTGGGCAGTGGATGTACTAATGGGAAGTCTGCAATGTATTTGCAGCTTATCCATTTTGTTATGTATTGACGAACATATATATATATATATATATATATATATATATATATATATATATATATATATATATATTTTTTTTTTTTTTTTTTTTTTACTTTATTCTCTGAAAGACAATGTAAGCCCTTTAGCACTGTGCTCCACTTCTTAGTTTTGGGGAGGAAGTGGGCAGCGGCATTTTGGGTCAGCTACATCTGATTCAAACCTGTAAAGTAACCCTTGTAGTGATCAGATCTACTAAAGATGGACACATTAAATAGTTTGTCAAGGTCCTGCTGAGACATTATTTCTTTTATTCTCTGGGCGGTAGAAGGCCGACTTTATTACTGTCTTTATGAGGTACTGAAGGTTCAGGTCTGAGTCCATCACTACCTCCATATTTTGAGCCTGATTTTCTTTGGATTGAAATTTGAGTTATCTGTTTTGATTGTTTTATAAGACTTAAAAAATGTTTGTCCCATAAACCCATGGTCATAGGAATTTGTGGAAATCTGTAATTTAATTTCACTTCAGTGTACTCGGCCTCTTTCAGTGTTATCACTCAAAAAGTGAACATTTTGAAGCATTTTACAACAATAAAAAATGAGTTTTATTTTATCAGCTGTAATACCCACAGCTGTGTGCTGATTTTTGAACACTCGTCTTTGGTGCAAACGCTATTACTTGAGTTTTTTTTTTTTTTTTGATTTAGCTTAAGCTAAGTTTTGCAAATTCATGTATTGGTATTAAATAAAAGGGGCCCTAAGATTAACCCTTGGGGGACACCACATATGATTTGTATGTTTTCTAAAGTAAATTTCCCTACCCCAAAAAATCCCTGTCCTTCAAGTAAGTCCAGTGCTGTACCAGAATGCTGGTACAGGTTTCTAAGCACTCTAATATACAATGGAAGGATCAACAGTGTTGAATGTTGCACGGGGGTCCAATAATAACAGTAATATGGTTCTTCCATTGTCTACATTTATACAGATGCAAACACACACCTTGATGAGGGCAGTCTTTGTACTGTGGTGAACATGGAAGCTTGTTGAAGCGGTTGGATATGTTAGGAAGGTAGCCGTAAAACAGCTATTTAAATAATTGTACTGAAGGGGAAGTTCAAGATGGGCCTGTAGTTCTGCTGTAGTAGTTTGTCTAAGTTGTTATTTTTAAACAGCAGTTTTATAGGGCCTGGGGGGAAACGTCTCACAAAAGGTACACTGCAAAAACGTTCTGAAAATTTGTAAAAATGTCTTTAAACAAGTGTATTTACCTTAAATCTGAGTAGGAAAATAAGATGATCTGCGAATGGAATGAGCATTTTTACCCTTAAAATAAGATAAATTTGATATTATGCACTTGAGTAAGTAGTAAGAGACTATAGTCTTTTTTTCTTATTTTAAATGTAAAATGAAGCTCTAGCGAAAGTTCAATTGAAGAAACTCTGACTTACCTCCATCAATCAGAAGCCGATCCGTCTCCGAAGCGAGCCAATCAGCTTCGAACTACTCCACCACGAAGCCCAATCAGCGTCCTGCTTCCACTTTATAAACTCCCTCAAATCTCACCACAGCCGCTATCCTGCAATCGCAATGTCGGATTTCGACTCAGACGACAATTCACCCACCTCCATCCCCTTCTCCGCCATCGCAGCTGAATCGTCCTCCATGACACGACTTCACCTCAACCTCATCAGAGAGTATTAATCCCAGTTGTCACCATCCCTCGCCTCATCGCATTGGTCCGGCAGAAGACCACCATGTTGAGCCCGGTTCTGCCAGAGGTTTCTTCCCAAAGGGGAGTTTTTCCTCTCCACTGTCGCTTCATGCTTGCTCATCATGGACACTTCACGGTGCCTGCATCATTGAGCAGGACCTCTATATCCCGAGTCTGAGTGAAGCCCCGGCGTCAGCTCCCTCAGTCTTCTAGTCCCACAATTCTGCCCAGCAGATCACCTTGTCAACCAGCTCGGATTAAACCACCACCAGTTTCAGGCCCGGGGGGAACATCCCTATTCACATTCATCTACTCATGCATGTTAAAGCATAATTCAGCATGAATGTTCCTGCCGAGGTCTGAGCGCCAAAGACTATACTTTCTTATCAATAAATTCTTCTAATTATCTTTTCTCTCTGTGTGAGTTTTTCAGATTGAATTCTCTTATTCCACTGGCAAAGAGTCTTACTTACTTGCTCAATTCAAGAAGAAATGCACTTGTTTTAAGAAAAATTTACTTACTTAGATTTACATTTTTTGCAGTGTACATGCTTATCATTTGAGTTAAATCAAATGTTTATGTTTCTTCCCTATCTGAGGTTCTTCTGAGAGAAACCTATTTTTGTACTGTCTCTTTAAATTCACGAGGCACTTCCAGGCTGCGGAGCATTGTATGACATCTGCCAATTGTGTAGTTTGCTGGCAGACATATGATTGTCTAGCAATGTAAAAACTCGGGTAAGTTGTAATGAATTGTGTGGATCAATCCGTCTAACAGCTGTTGACTTTTATACTTGGAGTTTTGGCATCCTTGAGTTTGGGTGATAAAATTGCTGTGGAAACTGATAGAATGGCGTTAACTTGTTTAGCAGTATTGCATCAAGTACTGTTTAATTTAATCTTATGGATTAAAAATCTAATAGGAAATACAGAAAACAAACAGATCAAAAACTAAGACCCAAACTGAATATAAAGCAACTCCATGCTAAGAGTCCGAGTATACAACAAACTGTATTCTAAAAGAGAGCGTTTTGCTAAGATGGAGCCATGTTTTAATATATGAGGGAAACCTGGTGGCTTTTTCTAGTTTTCTGTGTTTGTGTATTATTTTGAAAATAAATTCCACAGTGGAATCCCACAAATGGAGAAATGAAAGCAAAATGCATATTTTATTCAATAAACCATAAAAAAAATTACCTTTCTAATCAGGACAAAATTCAAATTATTTTTTGTAAAAAAAAAAAAAAAAAAAAAACATAATCTTTGTTCGAATATCTAAAATATAACATTGAATATGGGGTAGTTAATTTATTCAAATTTCAATCGTACTTAGCAGAAACAAGGCCGAATGTGGTCTTTCATTTAAAAAAAGTTTTAACCCCTGCTCCTGGGAAAGGGGAAGCAAAGAACAGCTGATTAAAACTTCCTTAAATCTGTGAATGCATGCCTTACAGCAGGGGTCAGAAACCCAAAATGTTCAAAGAGCCATATTGGACCAAAAAAAGACAAAAAACTGATCTTTCTGGAGTCTGGAGTGTGTATTAGCCCACAATTAAAATGTCTTAGGCTACATAAGCATCCATGAAAAAATGTTTATTTTCCCTGCTGCGTATCCAGGAGAAGATGACAACCATGGGACTAATCTGCTGTACGATATTTGGTGCTTTAAGATTAACTTCCTTTACAGTATGAATGTATTATATTTTCTTGCATCAAGGGAATCACATCACAGAAATCACATCTTTTGTGTTAGTTTTATTTTGAGGATTAAATGAAGTTTGTTTGATCTCCTAAACACTATATTAAAAGAAACAAAAAACTAATTTTTTTTCTTTTTCATACATTTTTGAAAAAGCTCCAGTAAGGATGGATACTAAATTATCCATTTAATATAGATACACAAGAGCTATTACATTATGTTGATGATGTGCTTAATCTGTTATTAAAACTTTTATAGATATTTATATTATTATCTTACACAACAATTAGGTATCAAGCAATAAACAGCATTTTCAACATTTTCATCCCTATCCTGTTTTCTGTTTTGTGAAGAATATCAACACGGTCAAATATTAAAATGATTGAAATAAGGACATTTCAACATCCTTTTTCAAGACTTTTATTAGCCATTTCACCACGTAAAGATTAAATGAAATCTTCCGATGTCAAAGTATGAAATAGTAAAAATAGCTATAAATACGTTGAAGTATAAATATTGAATAAACAAGATAAAATAAGTACGTTTAAGCAATTATATACATAAATAAATGTAGGAATCTACAACAGTTATAAATAAAAATGGTGCATTCTGAGTTGTAAGTTTGACTGTCACTACTGAGACTTTTTGACTGTCACTTTTTTGTAAACATTAAGTTTTGTAATAAACTGAAGTGGATTTTTTTGTATTAGTATTTCTTCGGGTTAGAAAATTAACATCCTGCAAGAGTGGCGAAGATCATTTTTATTGGCAGGAAAGAAATTTAGCCACTATGTAAACTTTGTTTCAATGTTCCTACCCTGTCAGAGTAGCACACTGGGCTAAAATATTTCCACATGAAAATGCTTATTTTTATCGTAGGCCATCCAGCGAGCACGTAAACATATCACCAGAATGATTGACAATTAGGAGGACCACTTATTTAGATGATCCACTTGGAAATAAACAATCCTCCTCTATACCTTTGAAATATTGCACAATGTATGCCTGTCCAAAGCTTGCTCTAACATCTTGATCAACTCCTGCTAAAACCCCTCCTAACATGTTCATACTTATCACCAACCAACATTGATGGTATTTTTTAAAATTCGTCTGGGGAATAGTAGGTCTTTAAATCAGGATGATTTTAGTTTAGTTAACTTCAGGCTACTGTTGCTTACCTGTAAGGTTCGTTATGGACTTGCCTCCTCCTATTGAAATGATTTTGTCAAAATTTATTTACTTTGGTGTGCTGTCAGATCTATTCTGGATTTTATTTTATTTGTTTAATAACAATTTTACTTTAATTTATTTATTTTTATTATTGCATATTTGCGATTAAACATTTGATTTTGATGTAATTGTGCATTCAGAGATTTTTTTCCAAGACTTTTTCTGTATTTGTCCCATTAGATTTCATTGCTGTATTTGATAGCTGATCACAGTATTCTATAAGTTATGAACATGTATTGAATAAGGGGAAGTACAATAGGATGGATTCAATATCAAAACAAAACTACCTGAATGGCGTTAAAAGTTCTGCTTTCAGAGTTAGCCAAACTAAAGTTGTCGTCTTTGAACCATGTTTTTTTTTTATCTATGCATGTCTTAAATTTCATGTTAAATACATTTTTAGAATTTTAACCTCTGGAATATTGCAAAAAAAATGTGAAATATCTTTTGCAGCAGTGAAAGAAAAATGATCATACATTATTGTGATTCTTCAACTTTAAAAAGTCCACAAATTGCATCAAAAGCCTTAAGCTTATGCAGAACGCTGCTACTAGAGTCCTGATGAAAACTTACAGAAATTTTTAGCCCTCCCCTTCGTGTCTTTTAGTTAAATCCAGAAAAGAAATTCAAATTCTCACTGTTATGTGTAAATCCCTAAATGAACAAGATTCATTTTATTACAAAGATCTAAATATTCCTAATAGAAAATCTCCTAAAAGTACAAATTTTCCCATGAATCCAACCATGTCATAGGGTTTTATTTTTTTGCTTTAAACAAATTTTTGAAGACACCACCAACAAAAAACAGAATGTGGACATAAGAAAATGTGCAGACTCAGCTGAATTTTTATAAAATCTTCCACATTTATGTAGAGAAAGATGAACTTACCTTCTGACTTGGGCTGTTTGTTACTTTTGATAACCACTGAAGCATAGTGAATATCGTCCTCTGCCATCACTGGAAGGTGAAGGTTGACCTGGATGTGACTTGTTGACTTAAATCTCCCCTCTAAAATGTGATGTGTCAGAAAGAAATTGTCAGTTCTTTAACATAACTTCTGTTTTTTATAGCTCTTGATTTGCATACTTCTGCTTTTTTTTTTTCCCCAGATCACTTTTGATAGATTTTGACCTGTGTTTGCTCGTCTCTGTCTGCTTCTTAGTTCCTTCTTTATTCCTCTTTAAAAATACTATAATAATTACTTGCTGGAAATATTCCAATTTCTAACATTTATTTTGGAGGAATAATTATAATTAATTTTATTTAGAAGAGATTTTCAAAAACACTAAAGGTCACTATATAAAAAAAAGCATTGATAAAAATCATGGAGCTGCCAATGAAAATGAAAAAACTGTGTATTTTGAATTATATTGTTTCCGTTTAGTGCCAGTTCTCAAGTGATACAAGTTTAGCTCAAAACAGTGGTTTGCAGGGTTCACTCCAGTAAGTTTCAAATACATGCACAACAATGCCCAGAGTGTGGGTTTTACATGGTCTCATTAGTGGAGCTGAATTTTCCTACAAGGACATGCAAAGTTAGTAAAGTTTTTTACAAGCCACTACATCATATGTCACTTCCTAACGATTGTCATTGTCGACTTGAGGAAAAACCGGTCTAACCACGCCCCACTGCTCATCAATGGCTCAAAAAGGCACAGAAGCGCTTGTACTTCCTGTGGAAGAAGAGGAGAGCCCACCTGCCCCCACCCATCCTTACCACCTTCTACAGAAGCCCCATAGAGAGCGTTCATACCAGCTGTCTCACTGTGTGGTGTGGAGGCTGCAGCATCTCAGACTGTAAGAAGGTGAGGAGAGTGGTGAGAACAGCAGAGCGGATCATCGGGGCTCCTCTTCCCTCCATTAAGGACATTTCATCCAATCGCTGCCTTTTCCAAACCCGTAACATCATCAATGACCGCTCACATCCCCACCATTGACTGTTCCCCCTGCTGCCCTCTGGTAAGAGACTTTGCAGCATTCGATGCAGGTCTAACTGGTTCTGCAACAGCTTCTTCCCCACCACCATCAGACTGTTGAACTGTTGGGAAAAAAACCTAAATCATATCACAGACTCTGCATCACACTGATAACTGAATACCAACTAAAATACTGCATGTTTGCACCATATATATTTAATGCTCTTGCAGCAAGAAGGTTCTGGATTCGATTCCTAGCACGGTGTCTTTCTGCATGGAGTTTGCATGTTCTCCATGAGCATGCGTGGGTTCTCTCTCTTTTCTGGTTTTCCCTGTTTCCAAGAGCTGGATTTATACTGAGATTATGTTCAAGGTGGACTCAGGTTACTTGTTAGTACTTTTCAGATATTTGTTTTTAGCAAAAATGTGAAATTCCTTTTGCTGAAAAACCATAAACATGTGTTGGTTATAAAATTAAGTTTAAGAGACACAATTGAAAAAGAATTAATGCTGTAAGTACTTTTGCCAGACCTTTTATGTCCAATGTTTGTTTCACTGTGCACTTTAGCAAAGTCTCTGTCTAAAATAGATCCGATTTTGTTTGATGTACAGAACTTCCCTAAACATAGTCTGTGAAAGTCGAAAGCAACACTTGCTCAATGTTGTGGATACAATTGTGGAAGTTGCCTTTAATACGCAGACCAGAATTTGATGAAGTGACTGTAGATGGACGAAATTGATAATTCAAATAACAATAAACCAGACAAAACAAAAATGTTTTTGCTACTAGTGATGCAAAATGATTGTGGAAGTGACTTCGAAACAGAGCAAACAATGTTCTTTAATAACCAGTAACCTACTTTTACCGGTACAGTTTTGGTTATTGAGATCTGTGTTCCGCTGCCACATTTGTAATTACCAACATTAATTACCACATTTGTAAACAACATCCCCAGACACTTAATTTTATACTTTTACTTGCTTACGTGGCTATATAACTAAATAAAGTACAGTTGTGATCAGTTTGGATATTTTCTGTCTGAAATACCAATATTATTTTCCACTTTTTCCAACATTAAGTGATAATGTTTTATACGTGCATCTGCTGTCCAACCTTTTCTTACACTCTAACAACATACATCTTCAAAAGTCTAGTCAGTAATTAGTCCCTTGAGCAGGTTTAAGGTCATCATAATTTTTACGCTGCAACATGAATGTGACTATAGAGTGCATCATAATTGGATGTAGGCAATTCCTCCAATCACTGCTAAACTACAACGCTGTAAAGTCTAAAGAAAATCCTTGAAACATCAAGTAATCCCCATGCAAAGATAAGAGGACATTACAACTGTCAAAGCAATCATATTTCCTACAGGATTAGGGGTTAAAAGCACTTCATTTGCTTATCCGGTTGGAATCTGTGGAGGTATTGTTCTCATATAGTGTACACAAAGAGCGAAACATGTTTAAGCATTAACAGAATTTATTCCAGCCATGGTTAACAAAATAATTGAGAAGCAAAAATTACATGGGAAAATCTCACCTTCTATTAGACTCTTTTTATATATTCAACAATCAGATGGGGAACCAGCTGAATGGCAGAGAGGCTCTGCATACTTTCCAATTTTATCTAAAAGTCAGCCAGGAAGTGTCTCCCCTTAAGCTCCCAGTCATCATTCAGTTCTTCTTACACAGCCTACAACATCGCCATACAAGGTGATGCTGGAGCCACTGTAAGAGTTCTCATCTCAACTTGAGAATCTCCATTTTGATTTACCCACATACAAAGTGAACAGATATAGAAATGAAAAGATGTAACACTTAATTAAACCAGAAAATAAAATAAAATAAAAAGAAATTAAACTGTTGGTTCCTTATGCCATCAGACTGCTGAAATGCAAATGCTAAGTTTCTCAAATAAAACATTTTACATACCAAGATTTCATTATCCTCTTTACTTTCATCAGTAATTGTACTGCATTATATTGATATACGTATACATACACTAATACATAAATCAAACTGGTTTAGTTGTCATTGTCTCTAAATACTTAGGAGACTCCCAGATGATGTGCCGTAAAATTTACATTTTTAAATACATTTTCTATTTATTATAATTAATTGTATTTTATTGACGCATGTAATTAACTACTGTATGTTTTGTTCAGTTTATTGTTAATACACACAAGAATATAGAAGAGAAAGATGAATAAAAAGTTTTTTTTTCACTTTTATCAACACTTTATTTACAAAATCAAACAATATAAACAACTATTTATATGAAACAAGTGCCAGCTAAATATTATAGATCTCCATCAACTGACACAGTACATAAAATTTGGTTAAAGTCCCACAACTGCATAAAATCCTCCATTTTCTGTGTGGCTCTGTGGAAGTGAAACTCCAGCCTCAAAGTAAATAACCATCTTTTCTAATCTTAGGCTGGTTTTCTTTTGTTTTGGCAAACTCCTCCAATAAATAGAGAATTTGTAATATAAATGTGCCAAAAGACAAAAAAAAAATAGTAGTTTTGTGCATTCCATGAAAACATTAAATACATTTTCATGTATTTGAAAGACCACAGAAAGGATACTAATTTAAAACACCCCAATTAATGACAGATACAATTTTCTTTTTAAATTGGAGATGTTTGTATAGAGACCTTCACTGGGATGCTTTTCTTCTAAATTTATCACTCCAGGTGCAGTCTGCCCGGTTTTGGAGATGTCTTAGGTTAAATACTTTTGTGCAGCTGTGGTAAAGGGCTTTCTTATCCATATTCAAATACATAAATAATTCAATAAAACCATTTTCCGTAGGTCCAGGCTGGAGAGAAGAGCTCCACTTTGCTCAGGGTAGCAAGGATCCAGGATCAGGGAAGGAAAGGAGTCTGTTGGATCCGCTTGGTTCTGACCTCACAGTAGCTATGTACAAAGGAGACTCTTCTCATTGGCTGACAAGTTTTCCCTCAGAAGGTCCAGGAAACGCCACACAAGCCTGGCAGACCGTGCTTCCATAACTGAATCTGTGGCCACTGGGCTTGACACCAAAGGTTCCTCTGCAGCTACGCTGGAGTTCCCCAAAGCAACAGAATCCTGCAACCCGGCAGGCTTCTAAGCCTCGTGGGACAGTCAATGAGAGGATGCAAATAGCTTGGTTTTCCTCAGATATAAAACTTTGAACCAATCTGACTGTATGATTTGGTTGAATTGTGTCTGTGTATTAAGATGACACGTGTAATGAATTGGTGCTATATAAATAAACTGAATTTAATGTTTGTGAATAATTTGTTTGTGAGTCCAAAATCAGGCTTTCAAGGGTTAACAAATTTAATTTCCATTGAAGATTTCCATGGGATTTTGTTGTAGGCACATTCAAGTTTATACAGAACCAATTAGGCTTATTGAATAATAACATTTAATCCATTCTGATCTAGGATGTGTCATTTGAGTGTTCCTTTTATTTATTTGAGCATTGTATATGAAATATGAAAATAAATTAACCAAAGTAATACAAGTTAGCAAACAAAATACTACACTGACAAATTGCAAAATGGTGCAGGAGAACCAAAGCAATCGTGGAAGGTATTAATGCCAACTCTTCAACAAGGACGTTTTTGAGAAGAAACAGTTCCTCAGTTCTGCTCTTAATGCTCTGCAGCCTCCTGCCAGATGTAGTGTCCTTTAGGGAGCTACAAACAAAATTTAAGCTTAACAAAAAACATCACATCAAATATTTATGACTGAGAAGCTTTGTGAAAGGGAGCTATAGCAACCTTAACTAGCCACTATTTACGGGGGGAAAAAAGGTTTAGAAAAACATTTGTGTGTTTTTTTGTTTTTAGGCTATAATTGCCTTTCAAAAGTAGCTAGACATGATACATCTTTAGAGAGAGGGGAAAGACATTTGGCAAAGGTCACCAGGCCGGGATTTAAAGATGTGATGGCCTTGTTTCTCTGAATATGACTAACTGTATGTGCTCTCTTTCATCCTCTGACATAGGCACTGGTTTGAAGCTCGTTTTCCTGGCTGTATGTTTCCAGGAGCTGGTTGACAGTTGCCGTTTGTATCTCTGTTTCTTCTGTATCTCCGCTTCTGTCTCCTTGAACCCCAGCCGGCCTCAGCAGATGGCCGCTCACACTGAGTCTGGTTCTGCTGGAGGTTTCTTCTGGTTTAAAGGGAGTTTTTCCTCTCCACTGTCTCTACAAGTGGTGTGAGGGATTGTTTTCGATTTAATGAGTCGATGCAATCAGATGGTTTTCCTTAGACAGAAAACTTTTATCCAATCTGACTGTATGGAACTTTAATACATTGTATGAGGCAATGCAGCCAAAAGTGTTTTGGATGCAAAAAAACAAAAAAACAAAAAGAACTGAGAAGATATTTTCTTTATTTTGTAAATTTTTTTGTCCATTATACCCAGAAAGCCATTTCATAGTAAAACTGAATGCACTTTTATAGATATTAGCTTACTGTTTCTAAGCTTTGCCTCAGATTAAAGGGATGTAATTGGACCTAGCACCACCTAGTGGTTAAAACAGATTATGTCTAACCATGGAAATCTTACATCAGGGAATCTGAACAATATTTACTTGAGAATTGGAGAGCTTTTATTAACTTTTAATGCCAAATGCGGGCGAGTATTGGAAATAGTTCTCTCACCCAAGTCACAACATGTGCTGTGTCAACAAATTAATTTCTATAGGTCAAGAAGAAAGATAAAAAATGTGTGTATTTATTTAATAATCAAAGGACATATTCTATACTCTAATAATCCCAGAGGGAAATTACTTCTCTGCATTTAACCCATCCCCTTGGAGAGCAGTGAGCTGCCATTATGAGGCGCCAGGGGAGCAGTGTGGGGGTCAAGGGTCTTGCTCAGGGACCCAGAGTGGCAGTCTGTGGGAGTGGGGGATTGAACTCACAACCTCAGGATTCAAAGTCCTATGCCCTAACCACTAGGCCGCCATAAATAAATAAGCATACTATTATGTGCCCCGAAAAATACAATAAACAAATAACTGTAGGTAGAAATTAAATAATACAATGAGACATGAATGTATATATCTCTTTTATTAACTTCGTTATTTATTTGCCTTTGTAATAATTACCTTATTTATTTGTTGTCCGTTATTGTTAGGATTCCAGTTTGTGTGGTTTGTTTTTGTGTTTTTCTTCTCTCCACCACCAGATGGTGCCCTGGTCTCATTGGGCCTCCTTGCACACCTGCGGCTCGTTGGGTCTTTACCAGATGAGTATTTGAGCAGCGGGCTGTCACTACCTCGACACCAGAGTGTTTGCCAGTATTGGGAAGCCTTCCTGTATCACTGGATAAGCCTGGACCTTCTACACCCCCCTGGAAGGTTAAACTGAGTCACACTGAGCAAGGGGAAACCTCCACATGTTCAAGTCCACTTCGGGAAAACCAAGTGACAGTCCACTCCTTTACTCATCTGGTTCCAACGTTAGTCTGCCTGTCCGCTCTCCAACGAGTTCATTCTTCTCTGGATTTAACCCCACAAACTGAATGAAAGGAATAACCAAGAGCACCCCAAAACAGTTTCCGGTTCCGGTTCATCAGTCCGCTGAGGTTCAACAGTATTACCCAGCAGAATATCTCTCTCCATCTCTGTTTTGCTAACCCTCAATAAACCAGTTACCTTTTACCCTTGGTCTCTGAGTGGTTCTCTGCATGTGGGTCAGATCTTTAAAGCCCACTATGACAGTTATAATCTTCAACTTTATTTATTAATAACTTATTTTTAAATATTAAGTATTTATATATCTCTTTAATGCTATTTATTTCTGCCTGTCGTTTTTACAGTTCTGCCTCATTATGCAAATGAGGAAGGCTGCGTCTTACAGGGTCAACTTCTGCCCATTGGTTAGTTAGCATTTTACTGCATTGGTCAGATCTACAGGAGGAGAGGAGAGTCTGAAGTCGAGTCTAAAGTCATAGGCCGTTTCTCAATTCATAAGAACGCAAGTAAGGACTCGCCATACGCTAAGCTAGTCACCTCCTGTGTGTTTATATATATATATATATATATATCTATATATATATATATATATATATATATATATATATATAGTAGGGTTGTCAAAAGTATCGATACTCAAAAAAGAATCGATACTGAAAAGTTGTATCCGGATACAATACTCATTTTCAAAAGTATCGATACAGTGCTTCCACCAGTGGCACCTAAACAGTCATTCATCTAAAGTGCAGAATAGAGGACAATGCACTTTCTGAACACTGTGTGATTGAATAATTCTACGCACTTTTCAGTTTCAGACTTTTTTCTGTAACAGGTGCAGCTGCTGAGAATTATTTTTGTTTTTTAACTGGTTTGGCTAGTGTCATTGTTATGTGTGCAAAGCATAGCCAAGGAAGAACACTTAATTTTAATTTTGTACGTTTTTTATGAAGCTTGCTTAATATTGTGCACAGCCAACAACCTCAAAATATTGTTTATTGAAGTTATTTATCTATTTATTGTATTTTTTTTATTAATGAAAAAATTTCTGTTAAATTTTGGAGTCTTTGTTTTTATCCTTGTGGTATCGAAAATGGTATCGAGTATCGAATATTTTCCTTAGTATCGGTATCGAGTTGAAAAGTTTAGTATCGTGACAACCCTAATATATATATACACACATTTATGTCTCACTGTATAATTAAATTCCTACCTACATTTATTTGTTTATTGTAATTTGTATGCTTATTTATTTATTGAGCATGTATTTATTTCTGTATTTATTTTTAAATATGGTACTGTCAAGGTTTAGTTGTGATTTAGAGGGCCCAAATGCAGAGGCAAGAGAGGCTGAGGTGAATTCTTGTAGTTTTAGTGATTAAAATAGTCAACAAAGGCAGGAATCCAAAAATCCAACTAAAAATGTAACACAGACCAGAACCATGGAGACATCAAGAGAAAACATGCACAAGGAGCCAGGGAGAGACGAGGTGAGAAGACAACAGCGATGACAGGACCAGCAACAACAAGGAGTGACTGCAGAGGGGGAGTATATGTAGCTTACTGAGACCATGGCAGGGCTAACGAGCTGACAAGGAGCAGGTGTGAGAGGAGACAATGAGGGAGCCAAGTGGAAAGGAACACACACAAGAGGGCAACAAAGGAAAACAGAAAAACCTGAGAACTGACATGAATCTAGAAACTACAACAAAATAGGAATTAAACCAATAAAACTAGGAAACATGGAACAAAGTAAAGTACAACAGAACCAAAACCATGACAGGTAGAGCTGGTCGTCCATACAGAAACAGCTATCCAGCAGAGAAAGAGAGAATCTACAGGCTCATACAAACAGCATGCCAGGAGGGGAGAGAAGGAGCATGGACTCAACCATGAGTCCAAGCTTGATGGTGACATTATAGTGGCCTCATGGTAATAAATCTGCACACATATAAAATATTCAAAATGCATTTGGAGATAAGTTTGTATCTGTGTTTTTTTAAATATACAGCTCCTATGAGTTTTCACTACACATGTTCACTTCCAGGCAGAATTCTGACTTAATAAATTGAGATGTGCTTCAGCACATCTGAATCAAATGATTGCAAATCTTTCTCAGCAGCCTCCAAGGGCTGGAGAGGTCTGTTTATTTTTTTATTTAAGTTGGAGGTAGGGGAACACCTAAAACATGCTGTATGGTGGGCCCCGAGGAACAGTGTTGAAGGCATCACCTTTAAATGACTCCATCTTCTTGGAGAAAGCAGATTTTTTTGTTGTATTGGAGAGTTTTTATTTGCTTTGCTGTAAACACGTGGATTTACCCACTTTAAGGCATTAAATAATGTTCATTCTCTATCCTATTAGATGTTGTTTTGACCTACTTAACTCTTTATCTATGTTTCATTTAAGTTTGTTACAGTGAAAGTGCTTAAAATAAAAAATAATTGATCTCAAACATTGTAAGTGTGCAAGAGTTTCCATTTTCTGACTATTTTTCCTAACAGATTTTTATTTAACTTAACATCAGCAGGACTATTTGACATGAGGCTGTGACACATCTAAGCTAATTCCTGACAGAAACACATACTTACAGTTTGACATTAGATAAGAAGCATTGAAAATGAGTGAACTCCAACTTAAAAAGAAAATAAAAAACACAACTTCCCAGCTGTATGATTTTCTGTAACAGTTGTTCTTTATGGGCTGCACAGTGTTGCAGTGGGTAGCGCTGCTGCCTTGCAGCAAGAAGGTTCTGAGTTGGATTCCCGGCCTGGGGTCTTTCTGCTTAAAAAGCTTTTAAAAAGGCCCCATTTTGTTTTAATTATGCAGCAGATCTTCCTAAGCATTTAGAGAAATTGTTTGTCTAATTTAATTCAACGTAAATCTTTCGACTCTCCTTTCTTTTTTTTCTTGTTTTAATGTTATGTTTGATAATTCCTGTAATAAATACAAAATAGCGAATGAATAAGGTCAGAGAAATGATAAATACATCAATATAATTTATTTGACCTAAAACTGAAAGCTATATTAAATGTTCAGACTGTATGGATGTAACTAATATGTTTAGTTTAATGAAACATAGTAATGAGGGTTGTCTCTGAGTAGCTCAGGAATAATATCTGGGGTCATGATATCAGCTGTCACTTAACACATTAGTTTAGTTTAAAATAACAATATCCAAAAATGAAATGCATTTAAATATTTAGCAATACACACTTTCGCATATAAATGTGATTTCCAGCCTTTTTAAAGGAGCAATGGAGCAATATGGCAAAAATGTTTATCCATAAAAAGTTACCAACAGGATCTGGAATTACAGCCGACTTTGTTTTATTTTACATTTTTTGTGAATATTTTACTGCAGAGTGTTTTAGTCCATAAACTAAATCCACAGAAGAGCACCTGTTGAAGCAATAAATATTGGAAATCACCTGCAGGGAGATACTTTTCTGGAATCTACCTCAGAGTAATAATAAATACATGTTAAAGTGTAAATCAGTTTTACAGCTAAAATAATTTCAATTGCTAAGTAATAACTACCTTATTTGTACATGAAAATCGTGTTTAACACATGCACTGATTCTAATTTTCTTGAAGGGTATTAAAATAACTTCCAGAAATCTGAATATTTCATCTCTAAACAGATATAGCCTTCTTCCCACAGATCCAGGCGTTTTTCTCATTACAGCTCTTGGAGCTCCATTCATCGCTCTGGTGAGAAGTCACACATTGATCAGTAGCTTCATTAGGAAGTTTCTTTATCCAGGATCTAAGGAAAGATATTTGTCAGATAATGGATGATTTTTCTATTTCATAATAAGTTTAATAAATAATGTCTCTCACTGAATGGTCAGATCACTTCCATTGATCCATTTCCATTTCCCGTCTACAGCTCTGAGGCCAATCCAGTATCCCTTAATATCGTTACCAGTCCAACTTTCGTCTGTAACAAACTTCTGTGGAGAGGGAGATAAAAATATTACATATTTACTTCACTAACATGATCAACAGTTTTTAAAGAAAATGTACTTTTAGTTCACATAATCAGTTTAGCAGCTCTGCCTTTACCTTTTCTGCTTCATCACCAACAACAGCCAGATCTGAACCTTTTCCTCTGCAGTCTTTCTGTGCTTCTTCCCAGGTTTTCCAGTCCTTGGATTCAGCATTATTAATAGCAAAGCAGCTGGAACCATTGTTCATCCATCCTTTTGGACAAGATTTACACTTTCTCTCTGAAGCAACGATCAACAAATACAAATTAGGACTGACTAATATAACCATTATAAAGGGTAATCTTTTAACATTACGAGATCTGAACATACCGTTGTTTTCTCTTGGACAGTAATTATCAATGCTCCACTGAGCTCGACTAACATTCTTCTCATTCCAAGTTTTCTCCATTGTTTCTATTTGTTCTGTGAGGTTCTTGCTCTCTGTCTCCAGCTCCTGATTTTCCTTCTTAACTTGATAAAGTTCTTGTGTCAGGTTTGCATTTTGTTTTGTCAGGTTCTGAACCTTGTTGTTAAGTTTGTTGTTAAGGTTTGTCAGGTTCTGAACCTTGTTGTTAAGTTTGTTGTTAAGGTTTGTTAGGTTCTGAACCGTGTTGTTAAAATCTGAGCTCAGTTTGTCGTTAAGGTTTGTCAGATTTTTTAAATCAGAGCTCAGCTTGTTATTAAGGTTTGTCAGATTTTTAAAATCTGAGCTCAGCTTGTTATTAAGGTTTGTCAGATTGTTTTTTTCTTGTTTCAAGTTGTCATTTTCTCCCAGTAGAATTGTCTGTTCATCTTTCAGCAGTTTCAGCTCCTGTTCAGCCCTCTTCTGAAGAAATATAACTGCAAAACATCAATGTTTACCATATAGTGACAATATAGTTATACGTAAATGCATAATTCACAAATGGTTCATAAAAAACATACATTTTGTTAGACTTTTAAAAATATATTAACTTCATACTACAGCTGAACTGTAAATATTTCTTAGAAAGCTTTTCAATATACTTAAAATACCAGAAATTTCTTACATCTTAAAGTTTTATTTAAAGAAATATGACCCAAATAAAAATATGAAATTTTTGTTTCATGATTCTCCAAATCAAAGTTCAATAATTCAGGTGAGTAAGAACCCTGCCTAGTGTTTCTTCATTCTGTTCACTGGCCCAGGTTATCACCCCTCAGTCTGTGTTGTCCAAATGAAAATAGTTTGAACTAATCTTCATACAAGCTTTTAACTATCTAGACCTTGATTATCCACCTCTGTTCTCAGCTAAGGATTTGTTATTTTGGTTATTGTTTTAAGAACAATAGTAGATGAAGTTAAAGGGCCAATGTCATGAAAAATCAACTTATTTAACCTAAACTGTGCTATAATGCTATTTCTTCAACACCATAATGTCCAATGTGGTATTTTGCTTGATTAATGCATGTCTGAATGATCCTCATAAATTCTCCTCTCTGAGCTGCACCTCCTTGTCTGGAAAAATTACTGGCCTTTTACCGTTTAAGGTGATTATAGAGGACAGTGATTATAGAGGACCAACTCTGACAAAGTCAAAAATAAATATATATATAAAAAATGCTGAATAAATACATAGGCATACAATTACTTGGGCAGAAAAAACATCAAATAGATAAAAATAAGCAGCAGTTATATTCTACAATGAGAAATAAATTCATAAATACATTTAAATGTGCTTATTTCTTTATTTCTCTTTCTAATAATTATCATACTTATTTGAAATCATCTTAATCTTATCTTTATTTTTTATTGATTTTATATGTATTTATTTCTGCCGTATTATATAACTTACATACATTTGGAAGACTTTAAAAAACCTTTATGGTAACTTATGCTGCAGTAAAACACTGAGAAACATACAAAGAACCTTGATTTCTCTTCCTCATATTCCACATACTTACAATAGAGACAGATTCCAATGATGGCCAACACCAAAATTAAACATAGACTCCCGAAGCAACACAGATACTTCTTATACTGGCGATATCTTCTTTCAGCTTTCTTGTCTGAAACAAGTCCTGCAGAGACTAATCAGAAGATATATCACATTAAGTTTCATTATGACAAATCCTGATTACAAGTTTGCTTCAAGTTAAAATACTAGAAAGTGTCATTTGTACAGCACTTTCTTACATCCCCAAGATGGATGTCATTTTTTCTTTTGTTGTACAGAAGTAACACCTTGCTCTGTTTTAGGCTCCGCCTCTAAGATTGGATTCTGCTTCCTGAGTCTCAGCCCAATCAAGATCCCATGCACACTATTTAAGGCCTGTAAGGCTGCACTTCAGGGCCTCTGGGCCATTTATCTGCCATACACCTCAGTGGTTGTTGCAGCATCTAATGATCTGTTAATTTGCTGCCATGTAAACCTGTTTAGATAGTTTTTGTAGAAGAGAGCTTCCTTTTTGTTTAACCCCAGTTTTCTCCTCTTTATGTGCTTGTTCGATAGGTTCTATTGTAGGTTTGTATATTTTGGTTTTAAACTGAGTTAGGTAAATCCACTTTTCTTTTTCTTTTAGGGTTGTTTTGTTTTTTTTATTTTGGCCTGAGCTCTCCCTGAAGCCTTAACCATTTTTTATTTAAAAGAAATTGCAAAATAAACCTATTTAAATGCCTTTTTTGACTCATTGTTTCCTTGTTTAAATTTATGTTGTTCTTTTATACCTCCTAGACCCAGCCAGGTGACATAACAACTTAAAAAAGCAGGTGATGAATTTAAAAATATAGGATTAAAATAGGAAATACAGTACAAGTAAAACTACCACTAAAAAAATGATCACCAGGACGGTAACAAATGTGTGGTTTATTGTTCATATTAAATTAAATTCAATAATTCTTCACGGCTATTAAATGTTGCAATAACTCATAGGGTTTTTTCTTTTTACTTTTTTTGTACAATTGCCTTCACCTTTCAGGCTTTTTCTGGTTCTTCCCTGAGCTCTTGGTATGTCTCCTGTTTTCTTCCTTCCAATGTTTCCATGATTTGAGATGGCCACATCGACAATTATGTCTGCCCTCTGCTAATTCTCAATGATCCTAATGTCTGGTTGGTTGGCCACAACCTTTTTGTCTGTTTGTATCTGGAAGCCCCACATGCACGTGGAACAGGTTTGAGCTAATGCTGGCAATACGGATCAAACTTCTACTCCACTTGTAGAGAGACAATATAGCCTCTAGGATCTCGATCTTCTCCAGTTCCACAAAACACACGTGGACCGGTCGGACAAACTTTAAAGCACCTTTGAGCACCGTGCAGAGATTGTGGAGCTGGTCCAGTGTTCCTCGGCCAGGACATAAACCACAATGCTCCTCCCGAAGCCTTGGATCGAAACTCAGCCGAACTCTCCTTTCCAGCACCCAGGCATATGAGTTCCGTGCATGTTTTAGAGTCTCTATACACCAGTAATGATTAATTGATCACTAAATTAGTTATCGATTATTTCAATTAGCAATTGTTCACAGCTAATCTGCTTAATTATTAATTCTAGTAATTATAATAATTATTATTTATTTTAGTAGCTTCTATTTATTTTAGTAGCTTACAGTTCCCATGTAAGAGGATGGAAGACACACACATACAGTTAGTCACAGTAAGAGAAACAGGACTACACCGAAAAACATGCCAAGCTCCAACATCTAACAACAGAGATGCCAATGGCACTAGCATAGCTGAAAGTTCAATCCAGGATGGAGTCACAGTCGAGTAGCAACAGATCAGAAGAAGCTACTATATAGTTATAAATCAACTATTCCAATTTTGCACCTTTTGTACTGTGTCTGTTCTATCTCTCATCTGATGCAGATTGTGACAGCTGTGTTTTCACGTACAGTGTTCTTCCAATAAATTCCCTACAGCAGAAATAGTTTCTAACAAATAGTCATTCTATTATTGACTGTATTGCTGAAGAGGAATCTCTATTATGTCCTCATTCTGGCAGCTGGTGATTAGTACTTGACTTGTTTTTTTTTTTCTTTGGTTTACTTTTTTTTCCTTTTATGAAGTTACATTTGGTGTTTAGTTTGAGCTGGATGCTGGTCACTTCTGAGTTTTGACGAAATACTTCTCGACTATAAATCTTCAATTGTTTGATAGCTTCGATTAATTTAACATCTACATGCTTTAAGTCACAAACACTGAACAGTGCGAGAAACCTGATCTATATTCAGGAAAAATAGGCTATAGGCTTATAGAAGCATCAGGGCTGAGGTCTTAGTCTGCTGTTAAAAGGGATGTTTTAGTTATAAATATTCAAATATAAAGGCTATTTTAAAGATATTTTTCATTGAAATGTGTTTACACCTGCATTTTACACCTTTGTAACATGATCAGATTGCCAGGAACAAAGGCAAGTGCCAAATGTGAAAAAGAGACGTTTATGTATTTAAATTATTTATGCATTGAAATTTAGCTTCAGTCCTACAGTGATTTAAAAAAAAATTGGATCCACCAAACATCAAATAAATTGGTGGATTAATATCTAAAGGCTATCTTAATACTAGATAAATATATTCCTGCAGTCTAATTGATTTATATTTCATCCTTAAATACTCTAAGCCCTTATTGTTTGGTTAAAGCCCCCCCCCCCCTTCCTCATTTTAGGGCGTTTATAGAATAAATACCCTTAAATGAGGAAGGGTGTTTATTCTATACATTCTCTTAAAGATAAATCAGTTTATTTTTTAGTGAAAGGGGTAGCTGTGAAGTATACATTTTCTGTTGGTACTGTTATTGTAAAAGTAAATACAACTGATCTCCCTCTAAGAGTCTACAGTGTGTCATGGCATGAGTTCATTGACAATATGATGTTGGTATTCTGCTCAAAATACAGACACTTCATTAATGGTGATTCGAGGAGTTTTATTTAAAATACAGCTTTATAAACTACTGTCAATGCAATTTTTAATCTGTGCAGATTCAATAACGCGACCAATAACAGATATGAAATGTTTTGGAGCAGGAGCAAAGTATGAAGTCTCGGAAAAGTTTAGTCATAAGAATGTCCTGGTGAGACCTACCTAAGTGACATATTTGAGAAGCTAAAAGGACTAAATCTGCAGCTTCAAGAAAGAGATAAGCGGCTCCTTCAGCACTGCAAAAATTGGAATTCTATATGAGTAATTTTTGCTTAAATTAAGTGATTTTTTTTCTTGAATTGAGGAGAGGAGTGAGACACTTTGACAATGGAACAAGACAATTTACATTTAGAATAAGAAAAACACAATTGCTTTGTCTTATTTCAAGTGAATATTATCTAATTATCTTATTTAAGGAGTAGGCATGTCATTTCATTGCCACATCATCTTATTTGCCTGCTAAAATTAAGGGTAAATACACTTATTTTAAGAAATGTTGTACTTATTTCTAGATGGTTTTTGCAGTGAGGTCACAGGATCGGCTCTTTCACTCGAAAGCTTCCAGTGTGAATTTATGTATACTCCTGACTATGATACCACCACAATGATTCTATGTATTATGCAGCATATTTCAGCACTGAATAGATTTTTAAAAAAACTTTCCAGTATGAAAAGGGTGCATATGCTTATGCTTATGTTTTTGGCGCCTATCCGTTTCACCAACCCCTCAGTGCACATGGTCCCTAGCTGGGCTTCCCCTATTAAAATATTCTGGCACCTCCACAGGTGAGGACATCAGTCTTAAGATATAAATCAATGTTAAGAAAGCAAACACATTATCACACTAAAATCTTAGCCTTTTCATTTTCTGAACCTTGGCAGCTTTAGTTAAAGTCTTATATCTATTTCGGTGAGTTGGGTTTCTGGTTCAAATTTAAAATGTGTTTCTTTCACTTTGGGTCTGTTTGCAAAAATGTATTGTACTGGTGCTGCCATCTACATACTTCTTTTTACTCAGTATCATAAAGGAAATTGGTGGTATCAAAAATCTTTGGGAGGATTATTTAAGGAACAGAATCTGTTCATTTTCATATAAAAAAATAGAAAATAAAAAAAATAATTGAAAATATATGTTTTTTTTTTTTATTGAAAATGTAACAAATTAGTTGTGATTTAAAATGAAGCTAAGGCGGAAATTCAACTGAAGAAACTCTGATTACTTCCATTCAATCTGAGGCTGATCCGCCTCCGATGCAGCCAACCCGCTTCAAGCCACATCTCCTCGATGCCCAATCATCTTCCAGCATTCTACTTAAAAGCCACTCCAAATCATCTCTAGGCCTGCTCTTCAACAAGCGCAAGATCCGTCGCTCCCATGTCGGACTTTGATTCAGACAAATCAACTTACCTCCAATCCTCTGGCTCGAAGAAGTTCCCGTCTAGCCGCTCTCTCATCTCCGTCCTCCGCATTGCGCTCCAAGGGCATTTTGCCAGGCTCCGACTTATACTCTTATACTCAGCTCAACTTTCTCAGTTAGCCTCCCTTTTGCCTCATTAAGATTCATCTCCTTCCCCCCCTCCATCCGCTCCTCCGTCTGCGCCGAATCAGGTCCCGCCCTTTCCATCCAGGCAGTTCATATATTCCTATGTATTCTAACGTTTCTCCTTGCCTCTGTTTCAATATTATATAAGGGAAATATGTTAATTTAGTTTCACTCATCCTCCCCTCCTGTGAAGTTGAACATCAAGTCGCCTCAGCAGGCGACATTACAGCTGTTTTCAAATCATCCGATCCCCGCTTATCCAAAAACCTCACCATTGGCCAATTTCTGGCAGCGTTCAGCATCTTCCGGGACATTCTTTGCTCAGTTTATCAGACCGCAGGGTCGAGCTAGACAATTATCTCGCATGAATAGCAGATCTTCATATCAAATTCGGCAATCACCTCTTTTATCAATATCTCAATCATTTGCTACTAAAGCAGCTGCAACTTTGGCCCAATCCGGAGTTCGTCTGGTCTGGTCGGTCTCGGACACACATCTTTTAATCATGTTGACCCAGTCCATCCCCTGTTCTGCCTGTCATTCAACCGGTCACCTCAGCGCGTTTTGCCCATCTATACCCTTTAAGTCTAGCACTCAATCTATTCCTCCTCCGTTCTCTTCTACACTTGCCCAGCCCACGGACCGCCGAGGTAGAAATGTCCAGATATTCAATTCCAGACCCATCTGTAATAAGTTTAATGAAAGTACATGCACCTTTCCTAATTGCAGTTTCTCCACATTTGCAGCTTTACTAGGACGCGCATCCCAAGTCTGTCTGTCCCCGCCGTGCTCTGTTCATGAGAAATCGTACCTTCAAACATTAATAGCCCGTCATCTTCTACGCCCATCATTATTTCTGAATTGCCATTTTGTCTTACCCATCATCCCGACCGCACTTTCGTCAACTTCATTCTTACCGGTCTGTCTCAAGGTTTTCATGTTGGAGTCTACAACCCTCCTCCCTCACCCACGTCTCCCCTAAGTTCCAATCCGCTTTAAAAGAACCAGACGTCGTAGATCAGCTGCTTCACAAGAAGTGTCCAAGAGTTTCATGATTGCTCCTTTCAAAACATTCTCTGTTTGCTCCCTTCCGTGTGAGCCCCCTAGTGGTAGCTACCCGCTATATTCCGGGAAAAAGAGGCTCTATTGGACTTATCTGCCCCTCATTCTGGCCGTCACTCCTCCATAAATAGCCTCTTCCCTCTTTCCTCTTCTCTCTTCACTACGCTTCTGTAGACCACGCTATTTCTCTCATTAAGACCACCGGCCAAGGGGCCTGGCTGGCCAAAGCAGACATTTTCGATGCTTTCAAATTATTTTCATTCACCCTTCTCAATGGCACCCGTTCGGAGCTAAATGGAAGTCCCTGTTCTACTTTGCTGTCCGTCTCACCTTCGGCTGCAGGAGCAGTCCTTGTCTGTTTGACAAATCTTAGAAGCTCTGTGTTGGATTCTCCTTAATGTTACTCATTTGCCATGCGTTCTTCATCTCTGGATGATTTCCTACGCATAGATCCTCCCTCCATCAGCCCAGTTCGTCACTCTTTAAACTAAAAGCTCTTTAACCAACTTGGTGTTCCCCTGTCCGAAGAAAAACCATCGGCCCTGTTACAAAATTGTTTTTCTAGGCATAGCTCGATTCAGTGGCCATGATGGCATCCCTGCCCGCAGACAAGCTGTCTCGGATTCGTGTGATTTCTCAGTCTTATAGCTCTGCATCAATTATTTCCAAACGTCAGTTGCTTCTTTGCTTGGTCACCTTAATTTTGCTGTGAGCATCATTCCACAAGGTCGTTCCTTCATTTCCCGACTGCTTGACCTAGCTTACTCTGTTCCCTCTCTCTTAGATTAGGTTTCTCTGGACAAAGGTTGCCGTTCCGATCTTTCCTTCTGGGCTAGACTTCTTTGTAAATGGAACGGCAAATCATTTTCTATGATGACATCATTCAAACGCTGACACGCTCCAATTTTTCATGGATGCTGCCCCATCCGTAGGTTTTGGGGGGGTTCTTTCAGGACAGGTGTTTGCTGGTTCGTGGCCTCCCTCTTTTACTAGTTCTCAGTCATCTGCGCTATGCGAGGTTTACCCTACTGTATAGCCGTAGCCTACCGTCTGTGGGGCCCGCTTTTGAGGAGAAAGCACATATCCGCTTCTGCGACATGGCAGTCATTGACGCCATCTATAAGGTCACCCCTCCTCTCATCTCTCACGCCATTCATTAGAGGCATAACTTGGCAAGCAGTCACTAACAACTTCATCATCTCTGCTCGACACGTTCCAGGTCTTTTTAACCATTCTGCTGATGCTCTTTCTCGTTTTAAATTTCAGACCTTCCATCATGTTCGTCCTTCTGCCGATCTCCTTCCGACCCCGTTCCTCCGCTAGAAGAACTCATCCTCAACTAACCCACTTTCTTCGTTCGTACTTACTTTCCTCCAGTTTCTACATAAATCAGGTTTAGCTTCACTTCAACTAAAAGTCGTTTCGATCCTTCCCGACATTCCTCTTTCGGATCTTTGTTTCCACATCGATCATTACAAATATCTTGAATCATTCTAAAGGGAAAGGCCGTTGTTCTATTTCTATCACACATACAGATGGCCCCTTTTGCCGTTTATCACCATGTTTAATTTGTCCAAAAACGCCAAAAGTTTTTCCCTCATTTCAAAGCCCCTTTTTGCCACGCCCGAGGGTTCTCCCGCGTCACCACGCTGGTTCCAAGATCATCTCAGAATACTATTAGAATCCTGTGGCTTTTCATCCAGTCATTATTCCAGCCACTCATTTAGGATAGGGGCAGCCACAAAGCAGCTGCTCGTGGTGTCTCCGTGGCTTCTCTCCAGCAGTCGGGCCGACAGACTTTTTCAGCCTATAAATCCTATATCTGCCCTTAACACTCTTCAATCTTAGCAGCCCAACGCTCTCTCTGTCTGTAAGGTAAGCTAACTTCGAATACTGGTGGTGGTTTAAAATATATTCTCATCCTTGCTAAATCATTGCTCCCTGCCACGCACCCTGCCATGCTCCCTGCGTGTTCCCTGCCATGCTTCCCGCTATGCTCCCCGTGAGTCATGTTCCCTGCCATGCGCCCTTGCCACGCTCCCTGCCATGCTCCCCATGTGATCCCTGCCACTTTACCTGCCTGCCATGCTCCCTGTGTGTTCCCTGCCATGCTCCCTGCTATGCTCCCTGTGGTCCCCTGCCTTGTTCCCTGCCATACTCCCTGAGTGTTCCCTGCCATGCTCCCTGCTATGCTCCCTGTGGTCCCCTGCCTTGTTCCCTGCCATGCTCCCTGTGTGTTCCCTGCCATGCTCCCTGCTATGCTCCCTGTGGTCCCCGGCCTTGTTCCCTGCCATGCTCCCTGTGTGTTCCCTGCCATGCTCCCTGCTATGCTCCCTGTGGTCCCCGGCCTTGTTCCCTGCCATGCTCCCTGCTAGGCTCCCTGTGGTCCCTGGCCTTGTTCCCTGCCATGCTCCCTGCCTGCTCCCTGTGTGTTCCCAGCCATGCTTCCTGCCTGCTCCCTGTGTGTTCCCTGCCATGCTCCCTGTGGTCCCATGCCTTGTTCCCTGCCTCGTTCCCTGCCATGCTCCCCGTGTGTTCCCTGCAAAGCTCCCGTGGTCCCCTGCCATGTCCCTGCCATAATTCCTGCCATGCTTCCTGCCCTGCCACCTACAATGCTCCCTTCTATGCTCCCTGCCATGCTCCCTACCTTGCTCTGCATATTCCCTGCATGTCCCCTACATGCCCTGTCATGTTCCTCACCACATCCCCTGTCGTTTCCTGCCTTGCTTTCTGCTATGCTCCCCGCAATGTTTCCTATGCTTCCTGCTATGCACCCTGCTAAGCGTTCTGCAAGCTCCTTTATTTTCTCTCTACATTGCTCACTGCTATGATCCCTGTCATGATTATTCATTTATCACGTGTATCAGCCTGTGCATAATGAAGTCCTTCTGTACTCATCCTTCTCCCTCTACTTTCTGCATATGCTGGCGCTCAGGCCTGAACCTCGGCAATTTTTTGGGGGGAAATATCCTTATTCTCATACATCAGTTTATCTGCATTAAAGTGTAAATCAGCGTTTATGTTTCCTGCCGAGGCCTGAGCGCCAAAGTTCAAACTATTGTATCAATAAACTCTTCTAATTGCATCTTTCTCTCTCTGTGAGTTTTTCAGATTGAAATGAAGCTATGGCGGAAATTCAACTGAAGAAACTCTGATTACTTCCATTCAATCTGAGGCTGATCGGCCTCCGATGCAGCCAACCCGCTTCAAGCCACATCTCCTCGATGCCCCATCATCTTCCAGCACTCTACTTAAAAGCCACTCCAAATCATCTCTAGGCCTGCTCTTCAACAAGCGCAAGATCCGTCGCTCCCATGTCGGACTTTGATTCAGACAACCCACCTCCATGCCCTTCTCCACCATTGTAGTAAGCTCATCCGACTCCTCCTCGATGCTCCTTCAACCTCACCTCCAGTGTGTACTCCCTCCAGACTTTCATGGAGTTCCCTGTCACTTTAAACGGTCCGGCAGAAGACCGCCACGTTGAGCCTGGTTCTGCCAGAGATTTCTTCCCAAAGGGGAGTTTTTTTCTCTCCACAGTCGCTTCATGCTTGCTCTTCATGGACAGTTCATGGACAGTTTTATGCAAACTTTGTTCATTCCGTGACATCTAACTCAAGCATCACCCTGTATACTAGCCTCTATGGATTAACCAAACTTCATCTGTCTAAACTCCACCACCAGTTTCAGGCCCGGGGGAAATATCCTTATTCTCATACATCAGTTTATCTGCATTAAAGTATAAATCAGCGTTTATGTTTCCTGCCGAGGCCTGAGTGCCAAAGTTCAAACTATTGTATCAATAAACTCTTCTAATTGCATCTTTCTCTCTCTGTGAGTTTTTCAGATTGAAATAGCGATGTTGCTTTAATCACTCAAAATCTCACTCTATGCTCATATTAAAAGTCGGGAGCCCTGCTAATAAAATACAGTTTCTTTCTCAGGTTGGTTCCAACCTCTAAGTGACAAAAGTAGACATGAGTGCACAGAAACCGGACCATTCACGAGTAGAAGAGAATCTACAGGGGATAAAAAAAAAGTCACAAACTCTTAGAAAGAACATTAACTCATGCTTGTGACCAATTGTCCCAGTTTGTTTTAATATTATAGGAATAGCATAGTTTATAGATACTGTAAGCAAAAACTTTTTATATCTGTACAACTTACCATTTGTGTTAGGTGTTTGCGGAGCCGTTTGATTTCGGATCTTCACTTCAGAATACACAACATCTTCCTCAATTTTAGCTAAAAAAAGCAAATGTTCAAAAGTTTATTTGTTGATTTTGTTAAATTTATAAATTACAAATGTTTTGCTTAATTCTTAATAATGGTTTTTCTGTTTTGGTTTGTACTGAGAGTATATGTCATTGTCATTACTTCAGACAGGTAATCAAGATACCCAAAAACAAAAAGGGGGAAGTGACTCACAGGAAACAAAGCTACAAAGTTTTGCATTTTATTAAGTATTAAGCAATAAATCCAAATTGAAAGCAACATACTGTACATAGCAAAAGCTGATTAAAAATAAATGTATATACAGAAAAAAGTAGGAAAGAAAACGATGGAATGTAGACCCTTTCAGGTTCTAGAAGCAAAAACTTTTTTTATAGGGAGTTTATAGGGACCATGGAACAAACTATTGCTCGGCCTTAAAGTGAGTCTGGCAAATTGTCTGTCACCTTTAGAGAAGGGAGCAATGCTTCGCTAACAGCTCTTTTAGTTTTAGAAAGCTGGTGGGCTTTATCGAGGACATGTCAGACAGCGGGAGAAACACTTTGTGGGTCTCTTCAATGCTTTCTATCCTGGAAGCTGAAACTGGGCACCTGGGGCTTGTTCATCAACCAGCCTGAAGTCACTTAGGTGGTCAGAAAACTCTGCATTAGCAAAGATTCGGGTGCTGAGATCTGCCCTGACTACCTTAATCATGTAGTTGTTGTTGGGCTGCTGTGGCTGACACGCCTCTTCAGCATTGCATGGTGGTTGGGGACAATGCTCTTGGACTCGGGTACTAGTTCCCCTAAGTTACCAGAGGGTGCGTTCTCATTTAACTCATATCTCAGCCTCCTCGGAAAGCCCTATTACAGGGTTCTAGGGAGGATAGTAATGCTGTTTATCTTGAGGGGTCATAGAAGTTTGCCTACATGTGTTTTGTGGCTCAGCGGAAAGTAAAACTTGCTTACAATAATGTGTGCTTTTATATTCAGTTTAGTTTTTATTCTTGCCATGGTCTGAAAGTACCCAATTATTGCCTCATCAACTGTAGATTTAATTTCCCATTTTTGTACTCTATTGTGAGCCTATATTAGGGCATTTACCAAAAAGACGACTTGTTAACAAAGTGACTTATATAATACGTATATAAGCTGAGATGACTCATATCTGGACAACCTCATTCTATGGGCTTAGTAGAGGAATTAGTAATAACTGTTGGGAGCTGGAGAAATACACCTTTTCTCCAGCAGAGTCCGCCCTGGATCCTCCCTGCTGAGCTGCTCTGCACACCTGCAGCTGATGATCTCATCTGGAGGACCTGGACTACTTAAGCTGCCTTCAGACCTTGCCTCGACGCCGCAGTGTCTTAATCAGTTGGTTAGCACTTAAGCCATAGATCCCTAGTGAACCAAGTCCCCTTTGAGTCCAACCTGGATTCTAACCCTTTTGTCTCTGCTTCCAGGTTTCCTGTTCTTTCTCCTGAGAAGCTCTGGAAGAGCTTAACCTGCCGAGCCAGCCCTCCGAGCCAAACCTGAAGACTCACTCTCTGGATTTCCTAGCAGCTCTGGATACCAAGCTGGAAACACAAGCCAAGGTCAAAACAGCCTTTAGAAGTAAGACGCTGAAACAGCTTAAGGACTCTGCCAACCCAAGCTTTCTCCGGACCCAACAGTTCCGCTCCCAAAGCCTCCTCTACGTTCATCAAGGTACAAACCTGAACACAATCAGTCAAGTCTCAACCAAGCCTTCGCTAACCAAACTGTCTTTCTCACAGACGCCAGTGAACCGGTCCCAGCCCAGAACCATTGCATCAGTCTTTATTATATGTGTGAACTTGCCAATAAACTCTGTTAAACTTTCCATCCGTGTCGTCAGTGTTCTGCATATTGGGCCTCCCTAATACCCATCATGACAGAACACTGCGGCCAAACTCAAGGCCCAGCAGAACATCTCCGTCAACTTTTGGAGGAGCGGGATGCCCAAATCCACAGACAAGTTCAAGCTCTGAGTGAGTTAAACTCCCGCATAGAATTCCAAGACCATGTAGTCCGAAACTTCTCCAGTCGTTTAAACAATGCTAACGCTCCAGTAACCCAACCATTTCCGGGTCCTGTTCCTCCGCCGAGGTCACCGGCTGTGACGTCATCCGAGTTCCGCCCAAGTCTCCCAGAGAAGTTTTCTGGTAACGTAACTGATTGTAAGGGATTTTTATTTCAATGTCGTCTCATTTTTCAGAACTCTCCTGCCAGTTTTCCCACGGACCACAAGAAAATAACGTTTATCCTTTCCCAGTTAACAGGAAGAGCTCTGGCTTGGGCTCAAGCCAGATTTGCCTCAGATGAAAGCTTAAGCTGTCACTATTCAGATTTCGTTTCTGAATTTTCCCAGGTATTCAACCAAGACACTGACCAAACCCTTGATTCTCGAGCACTGCTTCATTTAAAACAGGGAAATTCTTCTGTGGCCGAATTTTCTATAAATTTCCGGGTTAAAGCAGCTGCTTCCGGATGGAACCAGGGTGCATTAAAGAGTGCTTATTTCGAGGCATTAAACGAAAATATTAAGGATGAGTTGGCTACCCGTGATGAACCGGCTACACTCGAAGAACTAATCCAATTAACTATAAAACTGGACAACCGGATTCGGGCCAGAAACAGCCGCAAACATAAGAGTTTGGCGTTATTTTCCTCTGCCCCCGCCTCTAATAACGTGACTGTTGTTTCTGCCCCCACAGAACAGTTATCCAGACCAAAGCCAAGGAGCCAGCCTCTCCCTTTGCCTGTTCAGGCTACTCATCCTGGAGAAACTGAGATTGAGCCGATGCAGGTTGGACACACAAGGTTGTCTCCTGAGGAAAGGCAAAGCAGATTTTTGGGCAGACTTTGCATTTATTGTGGTGAGAGTGGACACGTCATTGCTTCCTGTCCAGAAAGATCAAAAGCCGGGGCCCGTCAGAGGTTTTGAGGAGTCTGACGGGCCATGAAGAAAATGAAAAACCTCCTCGTCTTTTGCTTCCTGCCACGTTGTTTTTCCTCGACCAGAGCCTCTCTCTTTCAGCCTTCATTGATTCTGGATGTGAACGTAATTTAATAGACTCTGATCTCGTCCAACAGCACCAAATTGCTACAGTTCCTTTAACCCAGCCTCTCAGAGTCTCTGCGATTGATGGGAAAAAACTTCATCAAGTCACCCACCAAACTCAACCCCTTGAACTTCTAATCTCAGGAAACCATCGAGAGTCCATAACCTTCTTTGTTTTTTCATCCGCATGTTCCCCACTGGTACTGGGTTATGAATGGCTGGAGAAGCATAATCCCCATATTAATTGGGCCGATCGTCATGTGGAGTCCTGGTCCACATTGTGTCACGAGACCTGCCTCCGTTCTGCAGCTCCCGCTTTGGGGGCCCCTAGAGGTGGGGGGGAGATGGACGTCCCTGACCTTACTCCGGTACCCCCTGATTACCATGATTTGGCTCCTGTTTTCAGTAAGGTCAGTGCTTCGTCCCTTCCACCACACAGACCATACGACTGTGCCATCGAGTTATTACCCGGTGCTCCGTTACCCAGCAGTAGACTTTATAACATTTCCAAACCAGAACGTGAAACAATGGAAAAATACATTAACGAGTCGCTAGCTGCAGGAATTATTCGCCCTTCTTCATCCCCATTGGGCGCAGGATTTTTCTTTGTTGGAAAAAAGGATGGTTCTTTGAGACCCTGTATAGATTATAGAGGCCTGAACCAAATCACTATCAAAAACAAATATCCTCTTCCTCTTCTCGCCTCAGCCTTTGAGCCTGTACAAGGAGCTACCGTTTTCACAAAGCTCGATTTAAGAAATGCCTATCATCTCCTTAGGATACGTGAAGGAGATGAATGGAAAACGGCATTTAAGACTCCTTTGGGCCAGTTCGAGTATTTGGTCATGCCTTTCGGCTTAACAAATGCCCCCGCATGTTTTCAGGCCCTAGTGAACGACGTCCTCAGAGACTTTCTCAATGTGTTTGTATTCGTATACATTGATGATATCCTGATCTACTCCAAGAATCTATCTGAACATAAGAGACATGTCCGCCTGGTTCTTCAGAGACTTCTAGAGAATAAACTTTTTGTAAAGGCTGAAAAATGTGAGTTTCACCAATCTTCAGTTACCTTTTTGGGGTTTGAGCTCGAGGGCGGGCAGGTTAAGCCTTCTGAAGAAAAGATAAAAGCTGTTTTAGAATGGCCCGTTCCAGAAAGCCGTAAGCAGCTACAAAGATTTTTGGGCTTCGCTAATTTCTACCGGAGGTTCATCAGAAATTATAGCCAAACCGCCCTCCCATTAACTGCATTAACTTCTTCCAAGAGAGTTTTTCGATGGTCCCCCGAGGCACAAGCAGCTTTTGACAAACTCAAAACCTTATTTTCCAGAGCTCCAGTCCTAATCCAACCAGATCCATCTAAGCAATTTATCCTAGAGGTTGATGCTTCTGACTCCGGTGTAGGGGCAGTTTTGTCTCAGAAACTCGACTCTGATCAACGAATCCATCCCTGTGCCTTCTTTTCCCGTAAACTCTCTCCCGCTGAACACAACTACGACGTTGGGGACCGAGAACTTTTGGCCATTAGGTTGGCTTTGGAAGAGTGGAGACACTGGCTCGAAGGAGCAGAGCATCCAGTCCTGGTGTGGACTGACCACAAGAATCTCGCCTACATCCAGTCCGCTAAACAAGCTACTCCTTGACAGTCAAGGTGGTCTCTCTTCTTTTCACGTTTTAATCTCATTATCTCCTACAGACCTGGATCTAAGAACACCAAGCCCGATTCTCTCTCTCGTCTCTACGCTGTGGATCAACCTGAGTCACCCCAACCTGTCCTCCCTGCCTCATGTACCGTTGGAATGGTCACTTGGGAGATAACAGATTTAATCAACGCTGCCCTGGCCACAGAACCTGACCCAGGTAATGGACCACCTAACCGTACCTATGTCCCCTCGTCTGTTAGGTCTCGTCTCATTCATTGGATGCACTCGGCAAGATTCTCTGCTCATCCGGGAGTGAGCCGAACAGTTTCACTGATCTCAAGACGGTTTTGGTGGCCCACTTTGCATCGAGATGTAAAGGAATATGTGTCTGCCTGCTCCAACTGTGCACGGAACAAAGCCTCTCATCAGCCACCCTCCGGTTTGCTGCAACCGCTCCCTGTGCCCTCACGTCCTTGGTCCCATATTGCCATCGATTTCGTCACTGGTCTCCCAGAGTCTCGAGGTATGTCAACTATTTTAACCATCGTAGATCGTTTCTCCAAATCTCGTCATCTGATCCCTCTCAGAAAGCTTCCTACGGCCTATCAAACCGCCCAGTTGCTGATCAAGCACGTCTTTCGCCTCCATGGTATTCCCCAGGACATCCTCTCAGATCGTGGTCCCCAATTTGTCTCACAGGTTTGGAAGGCCTTCTGTTCTGCTCTAAATTGTAAAGTGTCACTAACTTCTGGCTATCATCCCCAGTCAAATGGTCAAACTGAGAGGATGAACCAACACCTCGAATCCACCCTCCGCTGTCTCACCTCCAATAATCCCACCGATTGGAGTCAATATCTCACCTGGATAGAATACGCCCATAACTCACTCAAGTCTGCATCTACTGGTCAGTCTCCCTTCCAAGTTAGCCTCGGCTACCAACCACCTCTCTTCCCTGCTGACGAGAGAGAGATATCGGTGAAGAATGTCAATCACCACATCCGTCGTTGCCAGCGTGTTTGGAGAGAGACCATCAAAGCACTCAACCGTTCCTCTGAGTCCTCTAAGAGGTTCACTGACCCCAAGAGACGTCCAGCCCCTGAGTACAAGGTCGGCCAGGAGGTCTGGCTGTCCACCCGGGGACATTTCCGGGACATCCCCTTGAGGGGGATGTCCCGCAAATTATCCCCGAGATTCATCGGCCCATACAAGATCACTCGAGTCATCAACCCCTCCGCCGTCCGTCTTCAACTTCCCCCGACACTCAGGATTCACCCTACCTTCCACGTCTCCCAGGTTAAACCAGTCATCTCTAGTCCCATTTGCCCTCCATCCGACTCCCCTCCACCCGCCCTGGAAGTCGATGGACATCCGGCCTTCACCGTTCGCCGGATCGTGGACTCCCGTCGGCGAGGTCGCGGTTGGCAGTACCTCGTCGACTGGGAGGGCTACGGTCCGGAGGACCGACAATGGGTTCCTGGTTCATACATCCTCGACCCTTCTCTCATCGAGGAGTATGAGCGTTCCCTCCCGTCTACCTCTTCTGCACCGCCAAGGGGCGGTCGTTGAGGGGGGGGTACTGTTGGGAGCTGGAGAAAAACACCTTTTCTCCAGCAGAGTCCGCCCTGGATCCTCCCTGCTGAGCTGCTCTGCACACCTGCAGCTGATGATATCATCTGGAGGACCTGGACTACTTAAGCTGCCTTCAGACCTTGCCTCGACGCCGCAGTGTCTTAATCAGTTGGTTAGCACTTAAGCCATAGATCCCTAGTGAACCAAGTCCCCTTTGAGTCCAACCTGGATTCTAACCCTTTTGTCTCTGCTTCCAGGTTTCCTGTTCTTTCTCCTGAGAAGCTCTGGAAGAGCTTAACCTGCCGAGCCAGCCCTCCGAGCCAAACCTGAAGACTCACTCTCTGGATTTCCTAGCAGCTCTGGATACCGAGCTGAAAACACAAGCCAAGGTCAAAACAGCCTTTAGAAGTAAGACGCTGAAACAGCTTAAGGACTCTGCCAACCCAAGCTTTCTCCGGACCCAACAGTTCCGCTCCCAAACCCTCCTCTACGTTCATCAAGGTACAAACCTGAACACAATCAGTCAAGTCTCAACCAAGCCTTCGCTAACCAAACTGTCTTTCTCACAGACGCCAGTGAACCGGTCCCAGCCCAGAACCATTGCATCAGTCTTTATTATATGTGTGAACTTGCCAATAAACTCTGTTAAACTTTCCATCCGTGTCGTCAGTGTTCTGCATATTGGGCCTCCCTGATACCCATCATGACAATAACTATAACAAAGAACATTAATTTTCATCAGATGAAAGAGGAAATTAAGGAAATGAAGAAATATTCAGGAGAGTTTGATATATATATATATATATATATATATATATATATATATATATATATATATATATATATATATATATATATATATATATATATATATATATATATATATATATATATATAATAAGGAGAACTAAAGCAAGCAATAATTAAAATAATTTAAAGGGAATCTAACTTAGATGGGGATAAACATGAAAGAATTCTACAATTTCAAAATCCTTTCTTCCCAGAGTAACAACATTTCATTCATATTCACTCTGATTTTATGTCTTATAGCAAAAACATACAAAACTATATTCCGTTGTCCGTTTCATAACAAACATAGAGGTTTGAAAAGGAGCATATTCAACCATTACGGGAGACTTTTAATCACTGTGATCAGTGTCTTAGTAGAATCCTAGGTCCGAGAAACTGTCTGCAACATATTTCAACTAAATTAAAAAAATTCCTTTGACATGAACAATAATATGGACACTTCTATTTAAGGATTGTTAATTCTCATATGTTGATGGTATCACGGTCAATAGTCAAATCTCCATGCAGAAGTTTTACTTGAGATACACCAATGCTGCCCTGCGCTCCGTGCATTTGCTTATATTGTAACATAAAATAAAATTATGAGTCGTAACAAAAACAAAAAACATTAAATTCTGTTAAGCATTTTTTTCCCCAGTGACACAAACAGCTTAACAAAAGCTCACTAATCTTTTTTTTGTTTTTCTGTACTGGAGAAATTCTCAGTCCACAGCTTTTATTATAATATAAATCCACAGACAGCTTCATGTTAGTCGTAGGAGTGTTATAAAACATCGACACAAACTTACCTCTCGGCGGCCTCTTGCTTTTAATCACTACTGATGCGTACTGAACCTCGTCCTCTTCCATACCTGCAGTCCAACCGTTAAAGAGTGTGACGATTCAGCAAATGTACCACAATGCTGATCTAAACAGCATTTTTGAAGAAGTATGCATTTCCTGAATAAGTTTTATGCTCTGGTTGTTTGGAACTTCTGCTTTTTAAAACCCAGACAATTCATTTACATTTCCATCTTATAGAAAAAGCGTCACGCCACAAAGCTCTGTTATTTGGTGATTATATTAAAACAGTCAAACAGTGATTTAATTCATAGAACTTTTAAAGGGTTCATTAAACCATTGTTTGTGAAAGATTAATTTTGAATAGTGATGCTATTTAAGTCGATTTTAAAACTTCTGGTCTCCGAAGAGGAAGATGTTTGTCACTCAATTATTAGTTTCACACAGTGCATGACAAAATGTTTCGTATCTGATCTTAACTTAAAAGTCTACAAACTGATAGCAAAAAAAAAATCAATGATCAATAGGATAAACAGGAACAATCATACTTTTTGGTCTTTAATTCCTTCAGCTTTAATCCTCTGCATACAAACAGTTTATATTATCTGTGCTGTCACTGTTGGATCATACACATCGCTCTAAAAAAATACTGACTTACAAAACTATAAGGGATGGCCAAGTCTGCATCCAGAATTTGAATCTGGGTGCCCATCAAGTAACCTTGCATGATGATTATCAGAAAATCTGACAAGCATTAGCTTTTTATTGCCTATACTCTTGTGTTGTTTGTGAATTGAGTCTTGTTCCGAAATGTTTTCTAAAGCAGGTTCTATTCTGAAAATTGGGGCAAAATTTTGCACATGACCACTGTTTAATTACAAAGCATCAGACTGAGCAACCAGACTTTCACCCAGTGATTTCTGAAAATGTTTTGAGTAAGGTTGTGATCTTCGATAAAAAAAAAGAAAATAAATACGTTAATTAAATGTTGCAGTAGGGTTTTTGTGTTTTCCTCATCGAGTTGTTGTAAGTGTTGATAGTTGTAGTTGTATCACTCTGTCTTGCACCAGGTCTGGAAAAGCATCTTAGGCTGCTCACTGTCGTCCATAACCTTCTTCACTTTATGAAGATTTCCTCTTTGTTAAATCATCTCCAGAGATTCTAGAGGACTATCTAGAACAGAGCCGGCTTTCTCTTGTTGTTGAAAGGGCACAAAAGAGTACATACTCCTTGTGGAGGAGGAGGAGAGCCCACCTGCCCCCACCCATCCTCCACACCTCCGAGTGTTCTGACCAGCTGTCTCACTGTGTGGTGTGGAGGCTGCAGCGCCACAGATTAGAAGAGTAGTCAGAACAGCAGAGAAGATCATCAGGGCTCCTCTTCCCTCCATAAAAGACATTTAATCCTAGCGCTGCATGTCCCGGGCCTGTAACATTATCAATGACCCTTCCCAACCCCCCCGTGGACAATAAATGTTTTCTTAGTCTAATTCTTTTGTAGGTCATTTGCTCAGATGCTGTTGCCCGAGCAGATGATCAGAAGAGATCACACTCTCCACACAGACTGTATTGCTTTTATGTTTGCATTAATGAAATTTGATGCCCTCGCCAATGATATTGTATGATTTAGAAAATATCAGTATGTTACCTAATAAACAAAACATATAACAGAATCTGTTATAATTTTTTTCTCTGATGAAAAGGTAGAAAATTTTAACTTACATCTTGATTGCCGTGGTTTCTTACTTTTGAACGACACTGAAGGATAGAGAATTTCCTCCTCTTGCATCTCTAGCCCTGCATTTAGAAATGACTGAAACTGAAACCTGTCTGCAAAAGAGCAAAGACATGTAGAAGTTATTTCCTCTGAGGCAAGCCTTCTAATTGGAGCTCTTCTAGAGACATGTCTGGTTTTGGCTGCTGGCATTTGCATCAGTAGAGCATAAAATAACTTGAGTATTTTAGAAAAATCTCAGTGAGAATCAACAAGGCTGAAAAGAAAATAGCTAGCTCGGTCAGGATTTTGCACTGAAAAAGACCCCTTTTTGACCGCGTTAGAGTTGACATCATAATGACTGCAGTCCAAAGTGGCTTTTTGTTTATAAATAAAGAAGCGCTGTGTTTTTATTTAAGCTACATTGTGTCATTTTCAGCGACATCTTACAGCTAGATTGCAGACTGCAGCGAGATTTACTTTATGGTTTGAGAACTGTATGGTGGCACTTTTGCTTAGCAATAAGAAGATTTAAATCCATTAGTGGAGTTTTAAATCCTGGCATTGTTTTTCTTTCTCTTTTCCTTGGCTAGTTGATTAATTTTTTTTACTTTATTCAATGGTATTGTGGTATACACAGCTGAAGTCTTTTTTTAAAATAGGAATTTTCATACAGGGTTATTGCACACGGTGTTTACATGGGTATTTATAGTGATGGATATTTATATATATATATATATATATATATATATATATATATATATATATATATATATATATATATATATATATTAGGGGTGAAACGGTTCACAAAATCCACGGTTCGGTTCACGGTTTCGTGGTCACAGTTTTCAGTTCGGTATATGTTGATTGTTAGCCTGACATGTTGGTCGTGTTGCTGTTAGCATAAACAAAACGTGTTGCACAATGCTTGCACACTGTTGCACTTTTATCCACAACTTTCTTTCCGCCATCATCGTAGGTCACTCTAAATGCAAAGTGGTCCCGTACAGCAGACCTATAAAGTGCTGCTGGCACATCTTCCAACTCCTGTTCTTTCCCACTCGCCATACCCACACAATTCTCCACAACAACTGATTTTTTTCTGCTACACCCGGCTACTCTGCTTCGCTTCTTCTTGTTTACTACTGGTGGTTGGCTTTGGTCGCAGTACCGCCACCTTCTGCTCTGGAGTGTACATGCTTCGCCTATGAGAAAAAGGGGCCTCACATGAACCGAAGGTAACACATGCGAACCGAACCGAACAGTTGGGACGGTTTTCATACACCATTCTATCCCTAGTATATATATTATATATTAGGGATATATATATATATATATGACCGGGGTTCGATTCCCGGCATGGACATCCAGGTGGACCCTTAGGCAAGGTCCTTTGTGCTTAGTGGCCTACCTCAGGCATGAGTGATACCGCAAATACAAGAGCGGACGTCGCCCGGGTTAACAAGGTCCGCGTCAGTTGCTAGGTAACCAAGGCAACTTGATGACAAATCGGCTACATTGAGTTCTTGATGAAGGCTATTAGAGTCCTGTTGATCTTGTACATTTCCAGGCATTCCAGTATCCATGTATGTGGCATTGAGTCATAGGCTTTCTTATAGTCAATCCAGGCAGTGCACAGATTTGTCTGCCTGGTCTTACAGTCTCGGGTGACTGCTCTATCCACTAGTAGCTGGTGTTTGGCTCCTCTGGTGTTGCTGCCTATTCCACAAATCGGCTACTGGAACAAGACATAGATGGACTAGAGCAGAAAACTTGGTACTGATGAAATATATATATATACACTATATTGCCAAAAGTATTTGCTCACCTGCCTTGACTCACATATGAGCTTAAGTGACATCCCGTTCCTAATCCATAGGGTTCAATATGACGTCGGTCCACCCTTTGCAGCTAGAACAGCTTCAACTCTTCTGGGAAGGCTGTCCACAAGGTTTAGGAGTTTGTTTATGGGAATTTTTGACCATTCTTCCAGAAGCGCATTTGTGAGGTCGCACACTGATGTTGGACGAGAAGGCCTGGCTCTCAGTCTCCGCTCTAATTCATCCCAAAGGTGTTCTATCGGGTTGAGGTCAGGACTCTGTGCAGGCCAGTCAAGTTCATCCACACCAGACTCTGTCATCCATGTCTTTATGGACCTTGCTTTGTGCACTGGTGCACAGTCATGTTGGAAGAGGAAGGGGCCAGCTCCAAACTGTTCCCACAAAGTTGGGAGCATGGAATTGTCCAAAATGTCTTGGTATGCTGAAGCATTCAGAGTTCCTTTCACTGGAACTAAAGGGCCAAGCCCAGCTCCTGAAAAACAACCCCACACCATAATCCCCCCTCCACCAAACTTTACACTTGGCACAATGCAGTCAGACAAGTACCGTTCTCCTGGCAACCGCCAAACCCAGACCTGTCCATCAGATTGCCAGATGGAGAAGCGCGATTCGTCACTCCAGAGAACGCGTCTCCACTGCTCTAGAGTCCAGTGGCGGCGTGCTTTACACCACCGCATCCGACGCTTTGCATTGCACTTGGTGATGTATGGCTTGGATGCAGCTGCTCGACCATGGAAACCCATTCCATGAAGCTCTCTGCGCACTGTTCTTGAGCTAATCTGAAGGCCACATGAAGTTTGGAGGTCTGTAGTGATTGACTCTGCAGAAAGTTGGCGACCTCTTCGCACTATGCGCGTCAGCATCCGCTGACCCCGCTCCATCAGTTTACGTGGCCTACCACTTCGTGGCTGAGTTGCTGTCGTTCCCAAACACTTCCATTTTCTTATAATACAGCTGACAGTTGACTGTGGAATATTTAGGAGCGAGGAAATTTCACGACTGGATTTGTTGCACAGGTGGCATCCTATCACAGTTCCACGCTGGAATTCACTGAGCTCCTGAGAGCGACCCATTCTTTCACAAATGTTTGTAAAAACAGTCTGCATGCCTAGGTGCTTGAATTTATACACCTGTGGCCATGGAAGTGATTGGAACACCTGATTCCAATAATTTGGATGGGTGAGCAAATACTTTTGGCAATATAGTGTATATATATATATATATATATATATATATATATATATATATATATATATATATATATATATATATATATATATATATATATATATATATATATATAGGTATTGCACTGGGTATCACATATAAAGAAACAGGTTATTGCACAAGGTATTAAATAGTAATTGCACAATATACATTGCACAAGTTACTGCCGTTGTAGTGTCGCATTGTAGAGTCTGGTGGCTGTAGGGATGAATGACCTGCAGTAGCGCTTCTTTTAACAAACAGGGATTAAAAGTCTTTCCCTAAAGGAGCTGCTCAGCTCCTCTACAGCCTGGTGCAGAGGGTGGGATTTGTTGTCCATGATGGATGTAAGCTTGGACAGCACCCTTCT